AATTCAGAAGGACTAATGGATAATATTTTGGTCCTGATGTTAAGACAAAAATCCTAAAAGGATGGAATCAAATGTAAGTTTATTGCCCTCTTGTGGCAATTTGTAAGAATGGCTGGTTTTCTTTAAAAATACTGTGATGCAGCGTTTCAAATTTTTAGTTCACTCGGCTGGTCCTACCTGCAGATTTTTATCAAGCATGTTCTGTGTTTTGGACTCACTATACTTATTGGAATTTATATAAATATAACAGAAAGGTATCAGCCCTTAAACAAAACAAATAAAACACATATGCCTTTTAATTGTTAAAGAACTTTTAATAATGGCATTTTGTAATATAGGGAACTAGAATCTTGTAGATACAGATGGTGTCAGAATCTGCTTTCTTTATATTGTATATCATGATGTTAAACCCAGTAAAAATAATTGGTTTCACACTAGACATTAACCTAATGCAAGAGGAAACAACACCCAGGACTAAACAAAACTATCTGCTTACAGCTTAATCAGCGTTACCATGTGAACTTTGGTAAAGGGAATGGTTTGATACAGCTTTCCTGATGGGTCTGGCCAAGTCTCACTGGGGGCAAAAAGAATGTTTACTGCCATTATTTGTCCTACTGTTTTGAAAAGACTCGTCCCACTGATTCCTTAGGCCTGTATTGCCAGTAATATATTACAAACTACATCTGTTTAGCTTTAAATTCTGAATACGTCATCCAAGTTCATAAAGTGCACTCTTGTTTGAAAACCTTACAGATGTGAGAAGAGCAGCTCTAAGGATATATGAAAGTTGAGGACATGTGGAAGATGTTAAAGCAGGAATGAAAGAATTTGGATAGAGGCAGAACTGGAGGCCATTGTGATTATAGCTCAGGGAAACCAGCCGATTTCACTAGGCCATCAATGAGAGACAAATACTGTTCCCTGTTTAACAGCTTGGATGTCTTGCGGTCATTTCCACCTAACATTAAAAAATGACTGCAGAATATTACAGCTTCACCCTTCTTAGATGACACATTTCTTCGGCGTCATAAGGGGCCTGATCTCAGTAGAAGGCCATGTCTTACTAAAAAGAGCAACTGTCAGGATCTCTCTGAGTGGGAGGTGAGGCCATCTGTAGCTTAAAATGCCCTCTAGAGGATTTCACAATTGGCCAGTAGTCATCTCTGTTCTAAGTCCAAAACTGAACTCCAGGTTTACGCCCTGTTCCCTGCATCCTGCTTCCTCGTGCCAACCCCATTCTGTTCTTCCTGCAGCTTTTTTCATATTATTAAATGGCAACTCCATTTTCCCAGTTGCTCAGGTCAAAACCTTGGAGTCCTCACTGACATGACTCTTTCCTCCATATTTCATTTCAAATCATTAAGAAATCCCGTTGACTCTACTTTTGAAAAATAGCCAGAATTTGACCAATTCTTACCTTTTCCATTATAACCACCGTGTTCTAAGCTACCAACTTCTTTCACCTGGATTAGTGCAATACTTTTCCCATTTCTATCCTTGCCGTCCTGAAAATTATTGTAACACTGCCATTGGGCCAATTATTTTGAGATTTAAGGGAGATTGTGTTTCCCCTCTGCTTAGAACCCTGCAGTGGCTCCTCATCTCTCAGAGTAAAAGCCACGGCCCTAAGGGCTTACCTGTTCCTGACCTCGTTTTACTGGACTCCTCCCTCACCCACTCTGTTCCAGCCCCTCCACACCATTAATGTTCCTGGAACGAGCCAAGATTCTCTTACCTTAGGGCTCAGTTCTGAAATATTGTCTGCACAGATATCCTTCGCTTACCCCCTCACTTCATTCAGGTCTTTACTTAAGTGCTTCTGCTTTGTGAAGCCTTGCTCTGACCCTCTGTATAAATTAGCCACCTTCTATCTCTGGTTTCTACGGCCAGTCCTCTGGCGCCAGTTATTGCCCTTCACCCGCTTTATTTTCCTCCCTAGAATTTATCACCATGTCATATATATTCAGTTGTTGATTGTATGTATTTTCTGTCCCCCTAGAATGCACATCAGCATGAGGGCAGAGAAGGGGTCTGTTGTTCAGTACTGTATCCCCAGCACCTAGCGCAGTGCATTGTAGGTGCTTTCTGAATGTCTGTTCAATGAGTGACTGATAACGAAGGCGGGGAGCCGATTGTAGATGAACAGTTCAGGAACCAGTCTGCCTGGGCTCTATTCCTGCCTCTGCTCTCACTGATTATGTAATTTGGGCAAGTTACTTCATCTCTTTGGGCTTTGGTTTCCTTACTTGCAAAATGAGGATAGTCTTTGCATCTCCCTCATATATTTGTTGGAAAGAGTAAATGAGTGTATTTAGTTCATGGTTAAGTTGTTGAAATATGTCAGCTCTTGTTACTATAGCATCTTCCATGTGTGCTGTAGGTAGGTAGTTCTGAGTAGAGTCCCTGACAGCCTGCATCAGAATCACCTGGGAGCTGTTTAAAATGCTGCTTCCTGGGCCCCAGCCCAGAAATCCGAGGAAGGCCCCTGAAAGTTTTGCATTTTTACTAGCTCTCCAGTTGACTATTTGCACATTAAAGTTTTAGAATTATATGTTGGAGAGAGGAATAATGGACCACAGTCAGAGAATGGTAATTCTGAGCCTAGGGAATAGTATTGATGAGGAAACCCTGCTCCTTGTGGGGAATCAGAGAGAGGGGCCTTCCCCTCTTCGGCAGTGTGTGTGTGTGTGTGTGTGTGTGGTGTGCAAGTGTGGTATGTGCTGTGATGGTGGTGATGGGTGGGACTGAGAAGTGGGGTTGAGAAGTAAACTGACTCTCTGGCTGCTGCTGATTTTAAAATAACTTTGTTCTGAGGCAGGAGTTGATAGCCATGCCTAAATATTTTCTTGTTCTTGGCAGTGGGATGTTCTATGATGGGAATCACACCTATCTCATTGAGCCAGAAGAAAATGACACCTCCCAAGTAAGTGCTCCTTCTGTTGGCTGTGGCAAATGTGAAAGTTGATGCTGGGAGCTTTTTCCCTCCTCTTTTTTCTCTCTGCTTTACTTTATTTAAATATTGATACATATGTGTGTGTGTATAAATTTTATATTTTATTTTAATTTTATACTTTATTTTATTTAAATGTATATATCTAAAATAATATTGAATAAGTAAGAACCACAAATGTCTTTTTTCTTTTTTTAAATCTGTCTCCTACTCCTCCTTTCCTTCAGAGGTGTTCTGAAGCTTCCATTTCTGTCTCCACCAAAATGTGCTATGATCTGTCTTTGTCTGCTCAGGATGTCATTACAAAATACTGGGTGGCTAAAACAACAGAAATTTATTTTCTCACAGTTCTGATGACTGGAAGTCCAAGATCAAGGTGCCAGCAGGGTCAGTGTCTTGGTTGAGGGCTCTCTCTTTGGTTTGCAGACAGCTGCCTTCTTGCTATGCCTCATAAGGCAGAGGGAAAGAGAGAGCTCTGGTGTTTCTTCCTCTTCTTATAGGGGCACAACCCTGTTAGATTAGGGTTCCACCCTTACAGTCTCATTTAAGCTTTATCATTTCCTCACAGCCCTATCTCCAAATGTAATCACATTGGGAGTTAGGGCTTCAACGTACAGATTTGGGGAGAGGGACACAAACGTTTATTCTATAACAGGTCAAAACCACAGATACAGGATTTTCCACCCTCCCTTTCTTTTTTAGATTCGAGATTTTTCTCTATTTTCCATTGTCTTTAAAGCCCTGTGCTGATGAAGTTTAGAGAAATGTAGGTTTTTCTCAATTATTCTCTTACTTTAGTTGAAATATTCATTTCCCACAAATTAGGAAATGATTGAGTTAATATTATAGACCAGAGAGAAACACAGTCCACTTCCGTTCTAGTCCTGTACACACAAATATTCTTCCTTGCATCATGAAACATTGGCCAAACACTTAGAGAGGCAAATAATTTCAAGATATACACAGTGTTTTGCCACCCATAATCTTGATTGGGAAACTGTCTGTATTGCGTATTATTTTCTGGGTCCTCATTTCCTGTTCTCTTGTCACGTTGCTTGACTGCATGATATTTTTTAAAGGTGATATGAAACTTGACTGTGACATTCTCCTTTTAATATCATTAAACTTGACTATTTATGATATTTCTTATAACTTAGTAATTGAATGAAGCCAGATGAAGTTATTTGAATGTTCATTAATTTTTCTTAGACAAAGCATGGCGTTTTATCTGTTGGCTTGTCACAGAACTTTGTATGACCCTTGAACTTTGGAGCAAGGTTCATTTGGGCATCTGCCATACCAGTCAGCATGCTCCCCAGTATGAGCGAGGGTGTTGGCTCAGCAGTCTTTGCCTAGCAGAGCTCTCTGACTCTAAAAGGGAGGCAGGGAATCCGTGGAAAGGAACCAGTCATAAAAAACATTAACCCATTTTCCCAGATGTCTTACTTCTCCTTGGGGGAATATACCCATTCATTTATTTTCCAAATGGCTTCTCTGTTCGTGAAAGCATTTTGCTTCTCATAGGAAATCGTTCTCGTGCTGGGAGAATACGGAGCGAGTGGGAGCTGCCGGGCAATGGCTCATCGCCTCTGTAAACCCAGGAGAATGTGTACAAGCCACGGTTCTTGTAAGGGTTCCAGCTTCTCCAGCTGTGACTGCCTGAGGCTGGAGATATCTGGAAGCACTTGCTTACTCTCTGTTGTTTGTTATTTCAGGAGAATTTTCATTTTCACTCGGTTTACAAATCCAGACTCTTTGAATTTCCTTTGGATGATCTTCCCTCCGGTATGATATTCTTATAATGACTTATAAGAAAAGGCAACTTTAATGACTTATTTTAATGCTTTAGAGCTGATCTATAGCTGGAATATCATTAGCGCACAACTGCTCATAACAATTTTAGAGAGAAAGTCAAGTGCCATCAAGAGGGAGAATAAAATGCAGGTGACCTCATGCTGACAGTGGGTGAGTTTGGAAAGATAAAATGCCAACACACTGGAGGAAAACTTTTTAAAATCCTAAGATTCCAAGTAAGGTTCTATAGGAGAAATAACATTAGAGCAAAAATTGGTCTGCATAGATAACATATACAAAAATTCACTCCTGGTGAAATACTGAGTTGTAAACATAGAGATGAACTTTAAATCGTTTTCCCATTTGTTGTTATCTTCATCTCTTTATGCCCCAGCATTTTAAGGAGGAGCTATTTTAGATGAACATTTTTGTTTTATGTGCTATTTGTGAAATTAGTCTTTCCTTCTCATGTGTGTTTACAGGGCCATTTATTTATAGATGTTGATTGAGAGTTACACACAAGTCTTCACATGACAGTAGGACAGAATCCTTATATTTTGGTCTCAGTTAGTGGAGCAGTGATTATGCGGAGTCCTCGCTGCGCTGGACTCGGTGTTCTCTGAAGGCAGGGCACACTCCCGGTATCTGGTGTGCGGATGCTTCTTGCTATATAGTGAGCCTTGATCATGGCCATAGCACATTCTAAATTTTAATCGCACTTTAATTTTTGTAACAGCTCTGTGAGATAAATGTTAATATTTCCATTTTATAGATGAAGCTCAGCTGGTTTGTCTTTCTATGGTCTCACAGCTAGGAAGAGATTGACTGGAGGTTTGGATTATGGCACAATGGGAATGTTCTCTGGGAGAGGCACAAGGGGAAATGGAAAAATTACTAGACTGAAAGCAAATCCCAAACTGCTTAGGAAAATGCCTTAAAAGTGTGCATTGTCTTCTCATCAGAAAATGAAAGAAGTGTCCTCTAATGCCCTTTCCTTTCTGAAATAAATTTGTGACTTCTTGAACTCATGTAGTTCCCCTAATGAGAAATAGAACCCTCCCCTTCTTCCTGTTGCCAAGGGGATAGAAGGTCCTATTTTATAAAATTCATTATTTTGAAATATCTGCAAATGAGCATATAATGCTCTTATTTCACATAAACACTTTAGACTGTTCCTTCATTTACCTTATGTAACTTTTATAATTTCTCTTATGGAAAGAAAATAATTCATGACTAGCTGCCTGAGAATAAAGTCACAATCTAATAGACATTACTGGAAGTAATCAATATTAATTAACATTTAAGGTAACAAATAAAATCCGCCCTCAGGACTTTATTGCCATGATACAATCTTACAATTTGAAAAAAAACTTTGTTTAGGGCTTCTTTTCATCAGAAATTTTGGAAGTGACTTGGCAGTTTTGCTGTTATTAAAAATGAGTTTTGAATATATTCTTTGAAAACTCGGGTCTATCTCAATTAGTTTCTGGTTTTCTTTTCTTATCAGAAGCTGACACTGTCAATTTTAAGAGTGTTATTTGTCTTTCAGGATGCTTAGATTTACTCTGAGAACTTAGAAGATAATTAGAAATAAATGTCAAAACTGCAATTTTTGTGAAATTAACTCAAAAGTAAGCTGATTAATTTTTAATTAAATACAGTTTCACTGGGTTATGGATTATCAGCACCTTTGTCTTTCTATGCATTATGTATTTCCCAGAGACAGGATATGATCAGGTGTTCTCACACTTGTTTGATGGTAGAACCTTTTGTTTTACATGACACATTTCTTAGGACTAGTGTCTCTTTTTTTCTTTGGTCAATTTCACACTCTCGTATGAGAGTCCTAATTGCTCCGCATCTTCACCAGCATTTGGTGTGCCATTCTTTAATGGAAGTCAGTGGTGAATGTGAAGGTCAAGTTGGCTATTTAGAAGATTCCCAATAAATAATGTAATGGTTTTATAGGAGAAATATGAGAAAAACTTTGAGATAAATTAGAACAGGAATAATGTTTGAGATTTTTTTTGAATTGTATTCATTCTTGATATATTTATTCAGTATTAATATGAGCACAATTGCTTTGATTAATATTCTATATTATCATTAAGTGCAACATTATATATTATAAAATTCATAATGACCGTATAGTTATATGATTATAATTTATAAATTCTTATTAATAATTGCAATGATGAATAATTAAAGTATAATTATATAACTTATACTAGGAAGGGCTAGTAAAACTTTGATTGCCTTGTATGAAAGAAAGCTAGAAATTTCAAAGTTAAATTTAATTTATTTTTATTTCCTTTTAGAGTTCCAACAAGTAAACATCACTCCACCCAAATTTATTTTGAAGCCAAGACCAAAAAGGATTAAACGGCAGGTATGTATTCACAGGTATATATCATGATGCTTTAAAAACACTTGGCAACTGCCAGTCAATTGAGTCTACATTAAGTCTCTGCGAGAGGGTATTAGTTAAGACATTTGTCAGGGCGTGGTAAGCAGTGAGCGTGATGGATCTGTCACGAGCAGTGGAGATGAGGGTATGTTATTTCATAGACTCAAAAAGGACTCAAGATAGTGATGATAATATGGTTATTCATCATGTAGATGGATTATGGGCCTCTGCTGTGGCATCTCAGATTCTTTCTAGCACATGCCTCTTTCCTTGCCTGGTATGCACCACATCATGGGATCTACTTGTATGGTGCATATCCTTGTGTTTATCCTTTTAAAGATATGCCCTTAAGAGTGAATCCATCAGGCTTTGAAGCCCCAAATGCTATTGTCACACGTGAGCTGCTTTGGAGCCTGGAATATAAAATTAGGATGCCTACTTTATGAGTGTTTAGTGGATCTTGGACTTAGTAATAATAATAATAACTGTTAGTACCTATTTCATATGGTTAAAGCACTGTACCAAGGAAAAATGATGGCTCTGCAATGTGAAAATGACTTATGAAAAATTATGGAGCTGGTAAATGGTTCAGACAGAATAAGAACTTGGGCCGTGAGAATTCAGCTGTCATCACTGTTGCGTTGGTGGTTGGTGTGAGTGTATGTATGCAGCCTAAAAAGCACGGGATGAGAGAAATGAATCTCTAGTAAGATCAAGCAGTTGAAGGAAACAAGTATTTTCTCTTTAAAATATGTTTAATAAGTATGAAATGAAACATGTTTACAGACAGATTTCTAATGTGAATAATAATTGCTAAATTTTATTGAGTACTTTTGTGTGCCTGGCCCTGTCCTAAGAATTTTAATTGTATTCACACATTTAATCATAACATTCTTATGAGGAAGGTATTATTATCCCCATTTTACTGGTAAGGACATTGAGTATAAGAGGCTTAAGTAACTTGCCCACAGATACATTGGCTTCCCCAGTGGTGGATCTGGGATTCTGACCTAGGAAGTCTGATCTCAGAGAAGTTCCTGTAACCACATGTTCTTAATATACTGTCTCTCAGGAGTCTTGTGTTCTATGAATTACTACTATGAGCTTTATATATTTTGTGAATATACATATATATTGAGGCCCAATTAAACAGATATAAATAATTGCCGTCAGGATTTAATTTGAAACAGGAATTGTTTTCATGAGTTAATAACTGAGAGAATAGGATAATTTTTTGTTGACATAATCCCTGATTTTTTTTCCATAAGCATTTGTAATATCCAGTCATCTGCTGAGCAGACAAACTCTTGATTTCTATTTCTGAGAAAACTGTGGACCAGGGAGATGAAGTGTTACAAAACTGTGGCCAATATTGGCATCTCTCTGACCTTTAGAAAGTGTTGGAACTTGGGAAAGAGGCTACTGTATTCACTGATAAGGCTCAGGTCTCTTCCATAATAAAAAAAGCAGAGACTAACATCCTAAAAACATCCATTTTTTAAAGAGACTCTTGTCATTGGATGCAGTTTGTTACTTTTTGGTTTCCAAACCCCAAATTATAGTCTTTTATTCCCTATTAAATTGTCTTAAGGGATTTTGAAAAAAAAAGTTTTTTTTAAGTTTGAGAATGTGTTAGCAATGAGACAAAATCCACATGACAGATATTTTTTAGTTTGCTTTAGATGCAGTCCTCAAAACGCACTGATTGTATACCCTCATCACAAAAATGGCCATGGGCACGTGAGCAAAAAGATTTATTGGAAGAACTGTTTATCAAAGCATGGCATAAAGGGAAAAGTTAATTTTGCAGATCTTGTTGAAGATCATGGTCTAGACCAACTGCAGAGAATAAAAGGAAATAGCTGTCTTAGTGGCTCTTGCCAGTAGCATTCACTGGTCATGATTTTGAAGGTGGAGAAAATTTGTTGTTGAATAGACAGATATAGCTGCACTGGATAACCCAAGACTGCCTGGGAACTCTCAGAACTATCCTGACAAAGCTCCTGCGTCATTTGGGGGGTCCCTTGATGCCCACCAGAGGAAGGGGCATGTCCCAGATTTGGAGAGTAAAGAATAGAAGTGCCTGCCCGGCCGGGCGCGGCTTAGTGGTTGAGCATCTACCTGGGATCCAGGAGATCGAGGTTTGATTCCCCGTCAGGGCACATGCCCGGGTTGCGGGCTTGATCCCGGGTCGGGGGCGTGCAGGAGGCAGCCGATCGATGACTCTCTCATCATTGATGTTTCTCTCTCTCTCTCTCCCCCTCTCCCTTCCTCTCTCTGAAATCTTATCGATATATTTAAAAAAAAGAAAGTGCCAATCATCTCACTCCCTGTAGACCTCTCAGAGGTTCTCAGGAACTTGCATTAAACCATTTTATTACAATCTCTGAGATATACTGTTAAATGAAAATAGCCTGAGAGTGAAATAAATGGAAGTATAAAATGAAACATATATCTTTTGATTTTATATGCATAGACATTTTTGGAAGAAACCAGTAACTGTGCTGTTCAGTAGGTAGGATAAAGACTAGGTAGATGGGGGACAGAGGTGAGAGGAAAACTTTCATTCTCTACATTTTTATAATTCTTTAATTTTTGAACCATGTAAATTTATTACTTAGTCAAAAACTAAGTAAATTGATGAAAATGGAAAAATAAATACTAAATGAATAAAAGAGGAAACTATTATTTTGTTTATTTCTCCCATCCTTTTTCTCATTTAAATTTTTTCAGCTTTGTCAAGATATAATCAACAAATAAAATCATAAGATATTTAAGTGTACATTGTGAAAGCATTTCCCCCGTGGAGTTAATTAACATATCTGTCACCTCACATATTTACCTTTGTTAGGAGGGGGTGAGAACATTAAAGTTCTACTTTCTTAGCACATTTTATTTATAATCTATGGTATTATTAATGTGAGTGTCCATCAGTGCATAAATGGATTAAGAAAATGTGGTATATATACAATAGAACATTATTCAGCCTTAAATCCAAAATACAGAAATGCATGGTATCACTTAGAAATGGAATCTAAAACACAAACAGCAAAGTCAAACTCATGGAAACAGAGAGTAGAAAAGTTGTTGCCAGGGTCTAGGAGGTGGGGAAGATAGGAAGAGGTTGGTGAATGGGTACAAACTTTGAGCTATAGATGAATAAGGTCTGAGAAGCTAATGTAGAACATAAATTTTAGTTTTTCACAGCCAAGTGCAGAGGGCCTATTTAGGTGCCGTTTCCTTTACTATGTTGCAGCTCCGTCGACATCCTCGAAATGTAGAGGAGGAAACCAAATATATTGAACTGATGATTGTGAACGATCATCTCATGGTAGGATTTACTGAATTTTTTGTTGTTTGAACTTGTTCATGCCTTGGATAAAACTGGTCAGTGCAGGAATATGTTCAGAAGAAAGAGCCCCATAAAGCTTTAACAGGAAGAAGGTATTTGTGTAACCAAATATGTTTTTTCACCAGCAACAACTTAGAAGTAGGAAACACCCTTAGGTAAAACACCTTTAGGTGAAAGTAACTAACAGTATTTTGTGAAGTTCAAAAACTATTTCTGAAACTGGTAATGTCAACTTTTACTTGATTAATGTCAGTTCTTACTTGACTAATATAGGAGCTAATATTTCCTCTTACTAAAATGGCAGTTTTAAAAAAAATGAAACTCCCACTTTACATTGAAAAAGTGAGACACTAATAATGTGACACTGTAGTTTGCAATGTTCAACTTTATCCTAATGAAATAAAAGCAACTTTTCTATTTCTGTCTTGCTGTGCAATAAACCATATGGAAAAGCTTATATAGCCAAGTAGTAAAGATTTTTAGGATAGTGGAACTTCCGTTTTTGTTGAGTCAGTTATTTCTTTATATTCAATTCCCATATACATTCCATTCATGGACACGTTGCAGTCATATGGTTATAGTCACAGCCCAACAGTGAGTTATAATGCTGACTGTTCTGTGTAACCAGGGTATTCAACTAAAAGTGCTCAGTGATGCACATTGCTCAGTTTTACTTCATTTCAAGTGAAAGTATATTTGGATTTACTTTGAGTGATTTGAGGGAAAATGTCATTTATCTACATTTGATTCAATAAATAATAACAATTTTAATTGTTTTTAATAATAATACAATCAAGATTGAGTGCTTTTTTCTTACTCAGGCTAAGACTAAGTTTTATCTTTCTACCTTTTCAAACTCAGTGAATGTTACTATTCTGAGACTTTTACAAAACAAGAATAAGTTGCAAAAACATAATTTTGGATATTTTGGTATATCACAAATTCAGATGTCTGTAGACATCTTTATGCAGAAAACACAGTGAGTCAGGTATTAAACGATAGGGAAGGGTGAGGCCTGTGGTGAAAGGGAAGTCACATGGCCTATTTAATGGGAGCAACTGCTTCTCAGCAGTTACCAGTTATTACCATGTGGGAATGCTAATTTCAAGTGAAGCCCGAAATCAGGTTTTACATTGTATTTCCTGATTTTTAAAACAGCACTGAGGTCAAACAAAAGATATGTGGTTCACATCTAGCCTATAGGCTACCTCTTTGTGACCCTTGGGGATTTCTTCTCCTTACTGGATAAGACTTATAGAACTTACACATTTTTACACTTACAGCAATATTCACACTCACTTTTTCTGACTGATGCTACTTATATTTGTATGCCTAGCAATTCATAGATAACTTTCATATATTTTATTCATTTTGAATAACAATCTAGCGATAGAAATAAGCTCGTGAAATGAATGGAATGAGGGTTTTTTCCCCCCATCTCACAGATGAGTAAACTGAGGCCTCCAACTTTTAAGAGCCTTTTTTTAGACTACACAGCATATGAAGGACTAGGTCTTAATTCTTACATTTTTTTTTTACAAAAAACCGTAGAGACCTTTCCATTACACCATATTTTCTCTGCTGAAGTGATTATTTGCTAATGACTTTGAAAGCCCTTCACTTGTTGTCTTTTGCTTTCAGTTTAAAAAACACCGGCTTTCAGTTGTACATACCAATACGTATGCGAAGTCTGTGGTGAACATGGCCGACTTAGTAAGTATCACCCCGATTCAGTGTTGCCAGAGAGGAGCTGTATCTCTTGATCGCTGGTAGAAAGATAATATGGTTCTTACATTTTTCACTAGTCTGAGTTACACTTCAGCCGAGGTGTCCCACGCATCCCTGGTGACCTAGCAGTTGACTCTATTGACTTTGATATCTGGCTGGGAAGGTGATAAAAGGAAGTGGCCAGAGTTACCCACGGATTGATGCCTGACATTTCTTCCTGTATTTTTCACATTGGAAAAGAAAAGCTTGGGTCCTAGGCCCTAACAAAGATACTCACCAGTGGAAAAGCAGTGCAAGAGTTGCCTTTTTCAAAAGAGTGCCTGGTGCTGTGGGAATTCTGCAACTAAATGATCCTACTGTACCTACTCTCCAGATCTTCCCCTGACAAGACAGTGCCAGCACCTCTCCACGAGTTGAATCAGGGACAGGCAGGTGNTCCTACTGTACCTACTCTCCAGATCTTCCCCTGACAAGACAGTGCCAGCAGGTTGTATAGAAATCACTTCCTTGGGGAGCCTTCATTGTTCCAGTTTTGCTAGGGGGACTCAAGGATGGGTGAACTCTGTCTAGGTGCCAGAGGACGGCCTCAGGGAGAGCCTTGAATAGGTTGCAAACATTTGTTAGAACGTGATCTTCTGTTTCTGACTAGTGCAGTCTTTGGGTATTACTTGGTAAACAGTTGATTCTGTGTTACTCAAGGGAAATGCATGTAAATTAGAAAATAATCATCGTCCTTAGAAACAGTGAAATTTCTTACATTAACTAAAACTCAAGGTCCTTGTTTCCGTAAGTGGAAATTTGTAATCCTCCTATTCATAACACATTTGATTTTACCACATGGACAGCTGGTGTGTTCATTTTGTTATATACTAGATATATAAAGACCAACTTAAGACAAGGATAGTATTGGTTGCCATGGAAACCTGGGCAGCTGACAACAAGTTTGCCATATCTGAAAATCCACTGATCACCCTACGTGAGTTTATGAAATACAGGAGGGATTTCATCAAAGAGAAAAGTGATGCAGTTCACCTTTTTTCGTACGTAACTTTTGAAATGATTTATTACTATTTTTGGTTCCGTGTTGAATGTTCTATGACTCGTGACTGAGATGTATCCTTTCTATTGCATAATGCAATTAGGATTCGACAGGGAAGATACACTTGGAAGAAGTTTTAAAGTATAAATTGTTTGAAATTGGCATGAAAATTTAAGATGTTTAATTTTGAGTTATTTTATTATTGCATGCATATTTCATTTAAATTTTCAAGAGATTTAATCAAAGAATTTACTGAGTAGAAGTACTATTAATGCTCATAAAGAGAACTTTTAACTGATTAATCATACTCTTTAAAGTTGCTGTCTTTTAAATGTTAATGTTATCTTTGTTTCTGATTTGAGGTGAGAGCTTAGTATTTCCAGAGTTTTATCTTTTATTTTTCCCATTCTTACAGGGTTTTTTAAAGTAACATGCATACTTGATGTAATAGCAAGTTATATATAATAGCATTTAAAAAACCTATCACCTGAAGTTAGAGCTTTTGTTGAAGGAAGTTATAAATAGAAGTAAAAGTATATTTGGGGTAACTTTTTATTCTTACATAATTTCAAACTTATGGAAAAGTTGCAAGAATACTACAGAGAAACCCCTATGCTTTCACCCAGATTCATCAGTCGTTTACACTTTGCCCCATTTGTTTTATGATTTCTTTCCCTTCACCCTTCCTATCCCCTTTTCTTCCTTTCATCCATCTATCAATTTCTTTTTCCTGAACCATTTGAGAGTAACTTGGAGACATTTACTGGTAAATACTTTAGATATTTTCTTATATAAACTGTACTAAATTATTAAAACCAGATAATTTAACATTGATATAATATGTTATCTCTAGTCTATATTCACATTTTACCAGTTGTCTCAATAATGTCTTTTAGAGCCAATTCTCTCCCCACCTCAAATCGAGGATCCAGTGCAGGACCACACATTGCATTAACTGTCATGTCTCTTTAGTCTTTAATTTGAGAGATTTTCTTCGCCTTTCTTTGTTTATTTTGAACTTAACATTTAAGAAGAGTATAGGCCAGTTATTTTATAGAACATCTCTCAGTGTGGGACTATTTTCTCGTTATGAGATTCAAGTTATGCATTTTTGGCAGAAATACCACAGTAGTGATTTTGTATCCTCTCAGAGTACATCATATTAGTAATTCTTTTCTAATAGGTGTAGCTCTCTTGAAGGTACTTAGTGATGATGTGGGGAGACATCCCCCGGAACCTTTTTCTTTGGTTATGTGTGTGAGCAATTTTCACATTTCTTCCTTACTTCAGGAATATATAGTACACAAATGTTATGTGCATGGGGAAAATAATGTAATAAATTAATAATGAGAGGTGTTATGATATTTGAACTGTGAACAGTAAGTATTTTTCATTTCCTTTTCTGAAAGGGGAAGTCAATTTGAGAGTAGCCGGAGCGGGGCAGCTTATATTGGTGGGATTTGCTCGTTGCTGAAAGGAGGAGGCGTGAATGAAGTAGGTGTGAACATCTGTACTGTACAAAGTGGTGTGATGGCTGAAAATGTTCTCCTAATATTTAAGAGATAATTTCTTAGTATCCCACATTCTCCACATGTTGGGTTGTTTTGTTAATACCGTTATGGTTACTGTAAATGATCAAAAGACAGAATAGGGAAATAATAGAAGATATTATTTAATAATTCTGTTCATAGTCTACTTAGAATAATTTCCAGATTTAGCTATTTACAGATTATATAGAGAAAATATTTACTTTTACCTTCATGGACAATAAGGTCTTGTTCATTACTTTGATTTTCCGGAGAATTGAGAAATTCCCTGAATTGCTCGGCTTACTACCAAAAACCCAACTGGAAATTTTCTTCCTTCTTTGATACTTGGCAGATTTTTGAAGAGAAAAATAAACCAGGCTTTCAAAGGGTTTCTTCTACGCCTAAGGCACTAAGCCTAATGGAAGTGATCTAAAAGAAAAATACTTGAATCATTGGGACACTGTATATTGAAAAAAATTTCCCTAGAAAAAAATATCCCTAGGTCTTCTCAAGTTTCTTTTGGCTAAAGATCATCACCACATCCTGTTACTCAGCATTTGTTTTCTGAATCCACATTCTTTTTAGTTTGGGGAAATTTCAGGTTACAAGTGGACACACAAAGGTGAATTAGTTTCAAATAATTTACACATTTGTTATTATTTTCTGATTATCCAAAAGACTGGTTTAATTTTGTGTATTACATTTTTCAGAAATGTCACTAGTGAAATTTGGACTCAGAATTAGATTTAAGTTTCCAAAACAAAAAGTTGGTGATGTCCTGGCTTCTCAGCTTCTATATGAGGCTTAATCAAACATGGATTTATTTCTTACTGCTTCTTCCCAAATGCTCAGTAGTCAGTACTAGCCATTATGTGTTTAGCCTCTGCTAAATAAAATGCTTAGAGATTACTTTTTTTCAATTATATTGTGACTTTTTCTCTGACCCATCTTAAATAAAAAATAATTTGCATTTACATGTATTTTTCTTTTGTTTTTGTTTTTCAGTTTGGGAAAACTGACTTAATGGCAGTTACTCTTGCCCAGTCATTAGCCCATAATATTGGTATTATCTCAGACAAAAGAAAGTTAGCAAGTGGTAAGTTAAAGTACATGTATGGTTCAGTTGTATTTAAAGTAGACTCTGTAAAATATTTTGGAGAGTGACATTCTTTAATTCAGTTGCTTGATCAAAAGAGTTTGGATGATAATATAAGATAAACAACCAGGGCACAAAGCATTCTTTTCAAAAGTACTACAAGGTTATATTTATATTACAGATGAAAATTTCTCCATGTGTTATAAACACTTAAAGCTATGTGATGATAAATGTTTGAATCTAACATAAAAAAGAACAAAATAAGCTCAGTTAGGTAATTTTAAATGGTTTAATAAAGAATTCTAGGCCTGCCAGTCATGGCTCAGTGGTTGAGCATCAGCCTAGGATCCAGGAGATTGAGGTTCGATTCCCGGTCAGGGCACATGCCCCAGTTGCAGGCTCGATCCCCAGCCGGGGGCGTGCAGGAGGCAGCCGATCAGTGACTCTCTCATCATTGATGTTTCTCTCTCTCTCTCCCTCTCCCTTCCTTTCTCTGAAATCAATAAAGATATATATATAAAGAAAAAGTTTAAAAAATAAATAATAAAGAATCCTGGGCATATACGTTAAGGCATTCTGTTTTATTACGGTTTATTTAAAATATCTCTTAGTATGGCCACAGAGAATTTGTCTGCCAGGTGGGATCAGACCTGATAAAGGGCTTAGTAGATATCGACCTAGTAAAATATGCTAGGTTTAGCATCTATGAAGAATATATTTTCCCAAGTTACTTCACCAGCAGTGGTCAAACACTATGTATTACGAGTAAGTTGACCATATTTATTTAATTATTTTTAAAAACAGACATTATAAATATGATTGTTTATATTAACAATAACCATTACCGTTTATGGGATATCTATTATATGACAAATAATGGAATGCCATTATTATTTATATGTAAATACTCATTTAATCCTTTAGATATACCTGAAAGATATGAATATTAACCCCATTTTACAGATGAGACTGGATCATAAAAGGTTAACGTCTCAAGATTACACAGATTATGTTAAATGGCAAGCTGAGGTTTTAAACCTGGGTGTTTCTGATTCTGAATCCCCTTCTGCTTAACCAGTATACATACTGCCTTCTACCACACTGCCTTGGTGCAGAGGCTTTGAACAGTGAACAGGAAATTGTAAGAATTCCTGTAAAGGGCCTTGAAACCAGGATCCTGTAGTGGTGTGTCACTATTTAATTGGTATTTCATTTTAAATGAATTCTTTAAAAATATGGCCACTTGTTCAAATATCAAAAGATTTAATTTTTGTAAAAATTATGTAATCCTGACAGGGTCAGAGTAGATTTTTGTTGTTATGCATTTGCATAGAAACTTCAAATATAATGGAAATTAGAAAGCAGGTATTACTTTTTAAAAATTATATAAGGAATAGAGCTAAGATATACTTTTTAAAGTTGGAACTACTCTAATGGACCTGTTTTTACTTTGTAATAAGGCATGTGTATTCATTTTCTCTTAGGCGAGTGTAAATGTGAGGACACGTGGTCTGGATGCATAATGGGAGACACCGGGTGAGCCACTTCTACTTGAAAATAACTCCCTTTCTCTTTCCCTGATGTGCTGCTGTTTTAGGAATATGACACTCGATAACTTAGTGCATGGAACCTCATCACAGGCATTTAGGAGGAAATCAGAAGTAGATTTTCTCAGTGGCTTTGTTTATAAAATATTTTTACAAAATAGTCTCTTATTTATGAAAACAATTGATATCAATTAAGCTAGAAGCTCGGAGACATTTTTAGCCTTGAATCTAGGCTGGAAAAGAGGAAAAACTTTGTTCTTGATGGCTTACATACTAATTCCCATTCCTTTTATCTTCTTCAGTTCTAATTAAGTGGGTTATAAACAGTACTCTGCTAGTAAACTGANTAATTCTCATTCCTTTTATCTTCTTCAGTTCTAATTAAGTGGGTTATAAACAGTACTCTGCTAGTCAACTGACACCCAAAAACAAAAGCAAGAGCCCAGATCTGTAGTTTCTCAGATTTTCAGCACCTTCCACCGTATGTAGAAGCCTGTGGTACAGTAGCTGGTTTCAAGCTGCCAGTGGTGGGTCACTGAACAAGGAAGGAGTGGGAGAGTTGTTTTTATACTTTCCCACCCTTCCACACTATCAGGCACTAATCTTTTATTTTTTCTAAATTCTACAACCATTCCTTTCATGCCAAACTTATCACTGCTACCTTACTTCAAACTTTTATCATCTTGTGCTCTTATTTCAATAACATCCCAGATACTCATCCAGCTTCTAGGCCCCTTCTCTCCCTTCCTGAACTCCACTTCCATCATAATTGAAAAGGCATAAAGAGTGAAAGAGTGCACACTTGTAAACTATTACCCAGATTTAAAAAATTAAGCACTGCCTACATAGTTAAATATCCCTTATGTATTCTCTCTTATTGGCCTCAGCCCCAGCTCAAGTAACCACATCCTCGAATTTGGTTCACATCATGTACAGATTCTGGTTCACATCATTCACAGATTCTTTTTTATACTTTTACTATATATATGTGTTTTTGTTGAAGTAATACACTACATTGCTTTGCATTTCAGTTTATAGGAAAGGCATCATACTATATATATTCTTCTGTGATTTGCTTTTTTTGATCAACAGTATGTTTGTGAGATTCATCCCTGTTGATAATATGTGGCTTTGGTTCACGACTGTATACAGCATAGTTTCTCCATTATCTTCTTAATGCACCTAGATTCATGTGTCCAACACATGAACTCCTATCATTTTCTGCTCAGGACTTTTGTTTAGTCTCCATTGTCTAAAAGATAAGGCTCCAATTTCTTCCTCCAATATTTAGATGTCCGTAATCTTTATTCATCCTCACTTGCAGTCTCATTTTCCACTACTATTCATGATCAGTTTGATAACCATAATTATACATGGCTATCCAGCTTCTTAAAAATTTGCTCACTATAATTGTACATGAATTTTCAGCCTCTTTTGATTTAATATATTCTCTTCATCTAGAATTCTCATTTTTCTTTATCTAACCACATTTCTAGACATTTGAAATTTATTATAATTTTTAACTCCTGTATTATAATTTAATTCTGTATGTGCTCTGCTTCCATTCACCAATTAGTTGTTAATTTTTGAGGATTACATCTTACAATAATTTATATTTTTGTTATATCTCACACCATAATATCTTGTATAGACTTGATTTTCAATAAATATTTATTTGATTACCTTTGAATTTTGAACTCCCAAGATATGTACTGCAAGGAAAATAAATGATGGAGGGAATGTACATGCAAACATATATTTAAAATATTATTTTAAAATATCTTTGGATCAGACAGATAAAGACAAAACACCCTATGATTTCACATATATATGGAATCTAAAGAGCAAAGTAAATGAACAAACAAAACAAAAACAGACTCATAGATACAGAGAACAAAATGATGGTTGCCAGAGGGAGGGGCGTTAGGAGGGTGGGTGAAAATGGTAAAGGGATTAAGAAGTACAAATGAGGAGTTACAGAATAGTCACAGGGATATAAATTATAGCACAGGGAATATAGTCAATAACATTGTAATAACTATGTATGGTGCCAGGTGTGTACTTGAAATATCGGGGGACCACTTTGGAAAGTAAATGATTGTCTAACCACTATGCTGTACATCTGAAATTAATACAAAATAATATTGAATGTAAACTGTACTTGAAAAATAAGTAAAATTTTTGGCTTTGTTGTTTAGTAATAAAAGGAAATTATAAAGATTCTTTCCTATAGTTATAATTTTCAACAATTAAGTTCCATGCTAGAGGTTCTTGTCTTTTAAAAGCTATTTAGTATATTATACCTGAGTAGTCTGATTAACTATTAAACACAAAATTTTATAGACAGTCTGCCTAGCATTAAGCATAATGTGTAGCAAAATCAAATGGCAACACTCAAATATATATATATGTGTATGCATACNTAGCATTAAGCATAATGTGTAGCAAAATCAAATGGCAACACTCAAATATAGATATATGTGCATGCATACATATATACACNTATATACACATACAGACATACATATATATATATATATATATATATATATATAGTTCTTTGCTTTGTACTCTTTTTACATCAAATAGATGAATGTAAGAGAAAAGCTCATTGCATAAAATGCTGTCTGGTGTGATGCTATATATAATTTGATCTGTGCCAAACATCACCTAACAGCATTAATTAGGGATATGTATTTCCGAAGGGTATATTCTCTCCTATTTCTACTTTTTGAAGATCCTCTGTAATGCTAAATGTTGGAAAGCAGTTTTTAATTGAATACTTTCCTGTTTAAAGGTATAAAAATTAAAAATTTAAGGATGCTTTGAATATGTTACCCTACAGAAAAGTAGGTTTGGGGCAGAGCCTGGGGAGAGACATGATATCTGCTTTCAGGTATTTGAAGGACCTTGATGTGCTAGAGGAGTTAGTCTTATTTGATACAGTTAACAACAGGCTGTGACTATAGGAAGTCAGATCTGGCACAGTGAAGGTAAGAGCAAGCTATACATTTCAGCTGTTCATATATAAAAAGAGCTTCTCTGAGAGGGAAGTTTCCTGTCACTGTTAGAGAGCAGACTGAGCTCCCATCTGTGCAACGGACAGGAAGCTGGGCCAGGCTGAGACCCATGAGGGCCCTTTGCAGGACGGGGGCTGAACTAGGCTTTGACTTCTAAGGGTCCAACACTAAAAATTAGCAACTTTGTTCTTTGACAGTAGGAGCCATCTCAGGTTTTGACCACTAGAATAAAGAGGAAACTTAAAGCCCTATTTAAATTTTATAACTCTGGCAGAGATATGTAGGGTGGATTAGTGGGTTTAGTGATAAAAATATTGGCTGAGATGTAGGCATTGGAAAAAGGTAAGCAGAGCTTGAGTCTGTTGCCTTAGGCCCCTCAGCCATCCTGACATACTCTGAACAAACAAGACAAACAGACAAAAACTCATAGACACAGACAACTGTGTGGTGGTTACCAGAGGGAAAGGGGGGGTGTGGAGGTAGAAGAGGGTAAAGGGGGTCAAATATATGGTGATGGAGGGAGACTTGACTTTGGGTGGTGAACACACAATGCAATATACAGGTGATGGATTACAGAATTGTACACCTGAAACCTGTATAATTTTATTAACCAGTGTCACCCCAATAAATTCAATACAATTTAATAAAAGAAAAAGGAAGTGATATATGTATGAAAAATTTTAAATGAAGAATAAATTATATGACTTGTTAGGAAAGTGAAGTGAATTAATGTAGTTCAGTCAGCTTAAAGCCACACAAGTTTTATTTGGAGAGTTTGATGTGAAACACTTGAAAAATAAGTTTAGGGTAAATAATCATTGCAGATTTCATTAATTGATTCACAAAGCATTAGCCACTATGCTAGCTGGAAGTAGGGATATGAACAAACATAGTCCTTGCAGAGTAGTGGGAGACTTTATAAAACTATTATTATCTTAATTGTATTTTCACTACCATAAAAGCTCAGTGTGAAACAGTTTTTGAAAAACAGAAAGTAAAATTTTTTATCACTTTTTTTCTCACTATCCAGTGATAACCATGGCTGATGTGACAATAAACAATATTAAAATAATGTTTAAAGTCAGTATTTTTTCTCTCTCCATTTTTTTTTTTTTTTAATTTATTTTTGGAGAGAAGAAGGGAGAGGGGGAGAGAAAGAAAAACGTCCATGTGAGAGTGAAACATCAATTGGCTCTCTCCTGCACTACTCCTACTAGGGATCGAGCCCACAACCCAGACATGTGCCCTGGCAGGGAATTGAACTGGCAACCCCTTGGTACATGGGACAGCACCCAGCCAACTGAGCCACACTGGTCAGGGCCCATTTTTATTGTTTTTTTAATAAGCTTTGGATCTTGTTGTATATATAAGTGTTTATTCACTTTTTACTTAACATTATATAGTCAGCATTTTTCTGAGTCTTTATTCTTGAACACCATGATTATTAATCAGTACATGGTAATCTATTTTATTAATATGTCACAGTTTAGTTTTCTTAATATTGAGCATATAGGTTATTTTCATGTTATTTGCTATTATTGTACACAAAGCTAATTATTTCCTCAAGAAAAATTTCTAAAAGAGTTACTAGATTGAAGATGTTTCTCATTTTAAAGATTCTTAACATATATTGCCAAATTGCTCTGTAGTCAAGTTTCTTTTTCTGTTGACCCTTTATTATTTATTTGACAAATATATATATTTTTTGTTATTTGAAACAATCTGGAACTTGAAAATTTGCAAGAAGAGTAACAAAGAACCTTTTGTCTTTGAATCGTAAGTTGCTAACTTGGTGCCTCATCACTGCAAACACCTGAGTGTGCATTTCTACAAACAAGGACATCCTCCTACAGAAACACAGTACAACCAATAAAATCATACAATTCTTAGTCCTCATTTAACACTGGCTGTGTTTCAGAATATCATTTCAGAAAAGGTTCAGAATCAGGCATCACGTTTTTATGTCTCTTTAGCCTCCATCAGTCTAGAACAGTTCCTACCTGTCTTTGACTTTCGTGACCTTGACTCATTTGTAGATCAATGCTTTGCAGCTTGGGTTCCAGCCCAATTGTAATATTTAGGAAATACTTATTCTGAAATAAATTATTCCTCTCTTTGATTGAAATTACAGGTGTGTGTGTTTCCTTTGAATACGTATGCAAACAATGAATAACCCATCCATCATCACCATTGGTCACCAAATGAAGAATTTAGAAATATACTGGTTGAATAAAACCTTTAGGGATTGAATGCAAATATTGTACATAAGTGGAATTTATATTTCATTTTGGGGCAAATGTATAATATTAACAATTTTAAGAGTAATATACAAACAAGGGAGAAAAAAATTGTACCCAGCTATTATTTTCTTCTGTCTTACAGCTATTATCTCCCTAAGAAGTTCACCCAGTGTAATATCGAAGAGTACCATGACTTCCTGAATAGTGGAGGTGGTGCCTGCCTTTTCAACAAACCTTCTAAGGTAATAAGTGTGATCAGAGTTATTAGTTATTAATCTTTCTAAAGTATAATAAACACAAATTTTTCAGCTGTTGGATCTCATAAGAGAGAGCTTTTCAACTTACCTTATATGTACATATTCTAGATTTGCCAAGTATTTGCATTTCCAAGTCAGCTTTAATCTTGAGCTTTTGGGGCTTTTCTGATGGGAATAGAAAGCAGGTAGAAGTAAGAGTTTTTGCTTTCTGAAAAATTTTCATTTTATTTTTATATGGCCAAATGATGATTCAGGGACAGCTTACAAAAATGTTTTCATTTTGTCTTTCTTTTTCATTGTCTTGATGAGTCCCCACCCCCACCCCATTGTTTGTTAATCCTCACAGGAGGATATTTTTTCCATTTTTTTTTTTTTTTTTAAGAGAGAGTGTGGAAGGGAGGGAGAAAGGGAAGGGGAGGGGAGAGCGAGATAGAGGGAGAGAGCGAGAGATTGATGTGAGAGAGACACATTGATTGGTTGCATCCCACAGGCCCTGCTACTGGGACCAGGGATTGGACCTGCAACCCAGGTACATGACCTTGACCAGAAATCGAACCCAAGACTCTTGAATGCGCAGGTTGATTCTCTAACCACTGTAACCACTGAGCCACATTGGCTAGCCACATCTTTTATTTTGATGGCATTTATCAGACTCTACTTAGTATGTATGTTATATAGGTAAATATTAAATTTGACNCACATCTTTTATTTTGATGGCATTTATCAGACTCTACTTAGTATGTATGTTATATCGGTAAATATGATTAAATTTGATATGGAAACAATATTAGACGCTCCTGTTCTAAAAGTTCCCAGTTCTAAAGTTATAGAAAGTCATGCTTTCTGTTTAGGAAAACAAAAAGTATATTTTGGAATAACTGACAGATATACCAGAAGCATAGGTGTGGCAATAGGTCTCTTTGAGGTCTTCGATATTGATTTGTCTATATTTTAATTCCCTTTTTGGTTTCCATCTCAGCTCCTCGATCCTCCTGAGTGTGGTAATGGCTTCATTGAAACCGGAGAGGAGTGTGACTGTGGGACCCCGGCAGTAAGTCTCTGGGTGTTTGATGATTTTTTTTTTTTTAGGTTCTTCAGGGTCATTCCAGGTCCACATACTAAGATGGACATACAGAGCAGGGGTTATGCCTGGAAATTTTATAAGATTTGTGGAAGAAAGATTATCATTGAGAGGTTGTACATTTATTTTAGAAAATAGCCTGTTACGTTCAGGAAAATCACACCCTCTTCTGATGTTATGAAAATGTTTATATTCCTTAGGAATGTGTCCTTGAAGGAGCAGAGTGTTGTAAGAAGTGCACCTTGACTCAAGACTCTCAGTGCAGTGATGGTCTTTGTTGTAAAAAGTGCAAGGTAAGTAAATGCAGATTCATAACCAACGGACAGAAAAGAGGACATATTTGATTACGTTGTTAAGGCCAGTAAATATAATCTAATAAGAGTAGTATCTAACATATACTAGTGACTAAATGGCCAGTGCTTTACAGGATCCTCACAAAATCTTGTGAGGTGTGGTAACTATTTTTATTCCCACTTAACAGATGAGAACACTGAGGCTTGTAATGGTTAAATAGTTTGCCCAGGGCCTTACACCAAGTAAGGCAGGGAGCTAGGGCCTAAAACCTTTATAATTCCCAGAGTTTGTCCTCTTACTACTGCGGCCTCCCTGAGGAGTGTGCACATTAAATGAAAACAGGTGTTGAATCTTTGAATGATGTTTTCCCTTTCTTGTAAAGCTAAGTGGATATTCAGTAGACCTTTCTTTTCTTGCTGCTCAGCTTGGTTTATCTCTTGCACCAGCTGTTGAGGGGGCAAAGGGAATACTTCTAGACATGATAGCACCTTACATGTAATGTGCAAGAGAGTTTAATACGCATCTTTAAACACATTACCTATTTTCATCCCGCCAATAGCGTCCTCATACCTGTCTCCCAATATTTAAACCTTTCCATCGAGACTAACAGTTGGTTGAGGCTTATCTTTTCCAAAGAAATCTATTGCTTTTTTCTGTTCTCATATAAAGTCTCGTACAATAGTCTACATTATTTTTGAGGTTGACTATGTCTTGCATTCTGTACATTTTATGGAGGCAGAGCCAGGGACTTACACAATAATTGGTGCAGGTTCTTAGTAAACATTTGTTGAATGAATGAATAAATATGCTCAGCAGTCTCTCACTGATTATTTGCTGATTACTCATTACAGTTAAGAGAGGGTGGAATGTGAACCAAGTATCTACTAAGTGCCAAAGATAGTGCTAAGGACTTTTAATGTATATTGTCTTATATCTGGATTTCTCAGTGCTGGCACTATTGACATTTTTGGCTAGATAATTCTTTGTTGTGAGGCTGTGTCTTATTTATTGTAGAATATTTAGCAGCATCCCTGATTTCTGCTTACCAGATGCATATACAATCTCTCCCAGTTGTGACAACCAAAAATGTCTCCAGACATTGCCAGATGTCCCCTTGGGGGCAAATTCACTCCTGGTTGATGCTGCTATGCTACATAATGCTCACAATCACACTTTTCTGGTGTTATTATCCAGATTTTTTCACTTGAGCCATCCCAGCCTCAAGGAAGTGAAATAACCGGCGTAGCTCATTCAGCCAGTAAGGAATAAATGTGCAGTCACATCCCAGATCTGCTGGCAGTGATTTTGTTGTTTCCCCGTTACCACTACGTCTCTGGCAGCTTTTTAAGACAAGCAAGGCATTGGCAGAGATCTCTGAAAGCACTCTTTAAAAAGGAAGATGAAACCAAATGTGAAACAGACATTCTTTCGTTTTGGCTGCCTCAGGCTGTTTATTCTGTCAGCTTTTCTAACTGCCATAACAGGGGATCCCCAATCTCTTATTTTAATTCTCAGTGTTTTAAGTCTGCCCATAGATAAGATGCATTTAGTTAGGCCATTTTTCTTTGATTTATAGATTTTGGATCTTTGTGATATAATCCTTTCAAGGAACAAGCTAAAAATAATAAAATGAAAACACATACAATATAGTCGCATATTAACCATCCCACAGATAAGTTCCAGCTGTACCAGCCAAGTAACGGTCTTTCTCTACCCCATACCCCCACCCTGGGCTCCTGGAGAAGCCAGAGGCAAGATAGTGAATGGAGGGGGGAAATAGAAGAACAAGAAGAGAAGTTGTGTGTATCTCTACTTTTTCTACATATGTTTATAATAATGTGTCCATAAGTTAGAGTTGGCAAACATTTTCTGTAAAGGGCCAGAGAGTAAATAGTGTAGGCTTTGTGGGTCATAGGTTTCTGCCTCAGTTACTTAACTCTGCCTTTGAAAGCAGCCATCAAAAATACAGAAGCCAATGGGCATGGCTATGTTCCAATAAAACTTTATTTATAAAAACAAGTGGTGATCTGCTCATCAGTAGGNATGGCTATGTTCCAATAAAACTTTATTTATAAAAACAAGTGGTGATCTGCCCATCAGTAGGTGAGTGGATAAAAAAACTGTGGTACATTTACACAATGGAATACTATGCAGCTATAAAAAAGAAGGATCTTTTCCCCTTTGCAACAGCATGAATGGACCTGGAGATGATTATGCTAAGTGAAATAAGCCAGTCAGAGAAAGACAAACANACTTATATGTGGAATCTAATGAACAAAATAAACTGACCAACAAAATAGATCCAGAGACATGGATGCATGGAACAGACTGACATATCTCAGGGGAGTAGCGTGGGGGGATGGAAAGAGATTAACCAAAGAACTTATATGCATATATGCATAACCCATGGACACAGACNGAATCTAATGAACAAAATAAACTGACCAACAAAATAGATCCAGAGACATGGATGCATGGAACAGACTGACATATCTCAGAGGGGAGTAGCGTGGGGCAACGGAAAGAGATTAACCAAAGAACTTATATGCATATATGCATAACCCATGGACACAGACAATAGTGTGGTGAAGGCCTGGGGTGGGGCGGGGTGGGGTGGAGGAGGCAAATGCTGGGAGAAAGGGGGATATCTATAATACTGTCAACAACAAAAAAACTAGTGTCCAAACAGATTTTCCCTCAAGCCATCATTTGTGGACCTCTGCTGTAAAATATTGCTCATATACTTATTTATTATTTTTCTTCTTTCATTAGTGTATGTGTTCCAGGAGGGCAGGGACTTGGGTTGATTTATTTATTGCTATATCCCAGCACTTAAAGCAAGTCTTCCTTCGCTGTGCTTTCTCTCAGGAATCTCTGGAAGTTTTTGAACATTTATACTCTCATATAAACTCTACCTTAAATCTGCTCATATTTCTACCTCAGATGTTCTAAAAGTGTGGTTTGCCCCAGTTCCTAGGAGGAAGAGAGCCAGAGTATATGAAATTAAATGATTCGGCTTATTTCCTTATTTTTATGGCCTATTTAGCCCCATTAAAATGGTTTCATTGAAGCAGGAATCTTGTGTTTTGTTCTCAGTTGAGTCCTCCAGTGGCTAGAAAGTGCCTGGCACATTTTAAGTGGCTAGTAAATACTTGACGAATGAATGAATGAATGAACATAGTTTTTGTTTGGATTCTCTAAAAAGTATGTTGAAATGCTGATTGGAGTTGGCAGTATACTGTTCATGTTCCATGAACAACAGGAAACTCAATTGTCTGGAGGGTTATAGGCAAGAGAGGAAAGTTAGTGTGTGTGTGTGTGTGCATACCAAATACTGTGTGTGTTTCTGTGAGCAGAGATCAAAGCATAGAAGGGTCCAGCCCTAAATATTAACATTTTGGAGAAGGAAAGTAAATGGGATTGAAGAGGAAAGGAGAAAGATGAAAACTTTTTGTGTCTCCTTTGTTATAATGAATACTCTTGCAATTGATAAATCCAGTGAGCTTAAAAAAATATTTATACTACTCTCATACTTACAAGAAATATTTGAAGTGGTTGAAAACAGAAAAAAAAAACAAAAAACCCCTTTCATATGTGGGTACAAATTATAGAAAATTAGGAAAGATTAAAGACCAAGCTATAAATCTTTGTAAAAATGAGGCAGGAAGGAAGGGAAGCATGAGAGGAAATAGTTTTGCCAGAAAATCTAACTTTTGCAATTTAGCCCAAAATGTAACTTTAAATTCTTGGCAGAAAAGGCAAAAAAGAGTAATATGATAAAAGTGCCAGTGAGAAGGAAGGGCGAAGAGTAAATCCAAGAGCCATTTGGGAGGAAGAATTCCTAGAACTTGGACTGACTCATCCTTCTGATAAGATGCATCATCAAGCACTGTCCTATTTGCCACAGTACCTTAGGGATTATGGGTGATGACTGTGCAAATTACTCCATACACAAGAAACTCTCTCTGAAAAGTATTAAATTAACATTTCATTCAACAACTGGTTTTCACAGACTACCATCTTAAATAGTTCAAGATATTCCTATCCCAAAAATATTCATTTTGCTTTTTTAAAGATGATAATGTGAGACATTTTTCTTCAGCAGTTTTACACATTGATTTTTGTTCATTTCAGTTTCAGCCTTTGGGGACTGTGTGCCGAGAAGCAGTAAATGATTGTGATATTCGTGAAATATGCTCAGGAAATTCAAGCCAGGTAATTTATAGAATAATTACTCTACACAGGTCGGGAAAGCAGGCATATCTTCAGTGCACTGACCCCCCAGATGATAGGGAAATGGACAAGATGCTCATGTCTCTCTTTCATACAAATTCTCAGGTCTCTTTTTATTTACTTTTCAGGAATTTAAGTTTCAGCAAAGCTTGAGCAGATGTCCAGCATAATTTTGTCCTCACATTGAACGAAGCCAAGACTGCAGGCGTGCCTTTTTTGTTTTAAGTAGAATAAAATTCATTAGCTTTTTGTCTGTTTAGTGAAGGAGGAAACAAGACTCTCTTCAGCTTTGTGAAACAGGAGTCAGCTAAGGCAGAGAGGCCCCCAGAGCATTGGGTTCTGAGAAGCAGCTTATTTCTCTGTCTTGACTCATTTATCTGAGATAGCTTGCATCGCCACAGTCATTAATAGCTGGAATTTAACATTCTTTAGTTGTAAATAGAGAAGATAGGGACATTGATCAACTTTGACGAGGGTTCCCAGGTTTCACAGGGTCGGTGTATGTACAGGTAATGCAGGACCAGGAAAATGACCACGCAAGATACAAATACAGTCACAGTAGTCAACGGAAGAAACTGCAGTTGTTTTGTGATCTTTTAAAAAGGTTGTCAGGCTCTTAAAAACTCTCTTACTATTTGTTTTAAATAAATCTGGAAATGAAAAGTAACTAATATTTAGCACACTAACTTAAAACAGAAACATTAAGAATTAAAGTGTTTTATTTCTTTGTAAAAAACTTACCAGGAATAGTGCCACCTTCTTGTAAACCTTAGGATGCACAGTGAACATCTTTTCCTTGCATTGTTGAATTTTCATACTCCATTCTAAGTTTGGATCAGCTTTCAGCATTGTGTCCTTTGTGCTTTCAATGTCATGAACTGTCTCCAAGAGATGCGAAGATGTGGATGCGAAGTTTTTTGCTGAACAGCACGATCAACATTCCCATAGTCAGCAATTTTTTCCTATAACTCCGTTTACATTCAATTAGAATTTCACTTCGTGTCATCACTTTTTGTTTTATTGCTGCATTTTCATCTTTATTGGCCAGTTCCCTCTTTTGATTATCCAGTTTTGTAAAATGCTATCACCTAAAGACAGAGAGGCAACCCAACTACACACCTTGTTGTCCGTGTGTGAACTGAATAAACTGATGGCGAGTGACCAGCACTCAGAGGCTTTGACAGCGTGACAAGTTAGGCCGTTCAACTATTACTTACCTAGTGATCAGTCAGCGGAGGAGCTAGTAGCAAAGTTTGTGCTTTATGCACTTCCTCAGTTAATATATTATGGTAACTGAAATTGGAACTGTTTTTTGGGTTACTGGTATTTAACAAAAACCGTAATAACTGAAGTTCATGCATATTGAGGCCGTGTGAAGCTAGGTCTGCCTGCGTATTTTTTTCCTGTGGGGAAGAGGGATTCAGGAGTGGTATATCTATGTTAACCATTAAAAATGCTTTGTTTTAAAGATAGTCATCCTAAGAGACTAAATATTTTTCATGTGAAAGTATTTTTTCCTTTCTTATTATCTAATTAGCATTGCGTTTCCAAGCTAATACTTAGTGTTGATGGTGATACAGTGAAATGATGGATGTGCAAAGATATTCTTGTTGCATTAGTTGTAAGAGCACAAATTGGAGATAAAGCACATCCTTGAATAATGGTGTTTTGTTCAACATCATTTTTTTATATAACATTGATGAGATTATTTCAATTAGTCTATGGTAAAATTGGTTTCATTATACATTGTTTCACTTCAAGTTACATATACTATCAAGGACATTAAGTAAGGACTTACTGCATTTATAAGTGAATATTTTAGTACATTGGTCATATGATGTTAGCTCAATGCAATTTATTATAGCCATTAAAAATGATACCTACAGAAAAGTTTATTATGATGAGGAAATTTATAAGTAAAGGGAAGAAGCAGAATATAAAATAGTATCTATACTTTGATTATACCTATGTTTAAAAATATCAAAACTTGTAGAAAAAGGTAGAGAAAAAAATGTACCAAAATGTAAAAAATAGTTGTCTTTGAGTGGTGGGCATATGAGAAACTTTTGTCCTTCATTTTAATTTTGCTGTTTCACATATATGTAACTTTTCTCAAATGAGTATATAATTACTATAATGTTAGAAAAATGTATAATAAATTTAAAAATTACATAGGAATGCTTTGGAATTTTCTGCACTTGCTACAAGGTAAAAATGGGGACATGCTCTAAAGCATCTCTTTTTCTAACGTGCGCAAAGTACACTTCTGCCTGGGAGTCATTTTGAGTGTAAGGGCTGTGTTGCTTCTCATGGTAAAAAAGAAGAAATGTGTTGCTTCTCATGGTAAAAAAGAAGAAATATAGTTTCTGCTCCGTCTATGCTGGTATCCCCCGTGCTTTTGTATTGTGCTCTTGTTTTTCTTGCCCTGAGGAATAGTGAATCTGTATAAAGCAAGATGCTCTTAAATTTTACCATTAGCTGAGTCCTTGCTGTCAATTCTTTCTCTTTGCTGCTGTGTGATCAACTGTTTTTGCTTCTGATAAATCAATGTTTTTAGGGGAAAGGGCATCAATTATTGTATTTTCTTTTGCTCCCTCTTCTTTGTTTTTATTTTCAGATATTTTAAGACACTAAACATATTCTCAGACTCTATTTTGGAAATGAAAACATGAAAGGGGTTAGCTCATCCTGATAGTTCGCTGTGCATTTGGTTCAGAGTTCTCTCTTCTTTTCCTAGTGTGCCCCAAATATTCATAAAATGGATGGATATTCATGTGATGGTGTTCAGGTAGGTTAGTTCATCTTTACCTAAATTTTTCATGAAAGAAATACTGAAATCTTGTCAAAGTAGGGATATCAAGTTAAATGTTTTGTAATCAATTCTGAAGATAAAAGTCCTTTATAATACTCATCTGCTAGTTCTCCTGGTTACATTTACTTTGCAGTTATCTGCCGTCAGCAGACATTGTGTTGCTCATAGATGTGCTTTTCTATTTTAGGGGATTTGCTTTGGAGGAAGATGCAAAACCAGGGATAGACAATGCAAATACGTCTGGGGGCAAAGTAAGTAAATAGTGTGGCTTGATCATTTCAAGGTGTGATATCAGCCCAAGGGACATGTGAGTGGGAAATACATTTTCAGTCTCTTTAAGAGAGAGGGATTCTTAAAACCACCACACGTCTTAGCAAGGGCACTTTTGTGGAAATTAGAGAAGGGCACCTCTGAGAAGACACAGCCCGACACATCTTGGGTAGTTGGCAGTGCCTTTGGATGAGACAGAAGGTGCCTTCACTGCCAGGCAGGTGAAGTCCGTGCCAGGTGTGCAGCTTGGAGAACGGAACAAACCTGGATTTCAGCTCCACTTACACTCTCCACAGCTGAGTGTCCTGAAGCAAAACCTGTACAACCATATGGGCTGGACGTGGACCCTGGTAGGGCACTGGAGCATTGGAACTGTAGCATTTTCGCTGGAGTTGTTTTTTCTTAAACTCCAGCTGGCTTTCTACTTATGTCTACCTTCTGCTGAGGTTGCTCTGCCATATCAGAGAGAAATTTTAATGTTATTTCCTTCAAAGTTTGTCATATTTTCACAGGGAATTATATAACAAGTATATCTAAAACATATTATTGAAGTTATATGTTTATATTTAAAAATAGATTTAAATGTTGTGTTTCTCCAGAAGTATTAGAAGTAGTCTTTTCTGAAAGTAGTTTTTTGTTTTAAACTCTTTCAGAAGACAATTATCACTAAAGATAATGAGAATCCTGAATTATCACAAACTGGCTACAATCCTTTCGGGAGAGGAAGTGTGTTCCCTCTTTTGAGCAATTAGAGAAACATTGGAATGGGGGGAAATTTAGTCCTACAGTTGGTACTCTGAACAAAGAGAATTTTGTTTCCCCACTTGAGAATAACAAAAAAAAGAAAAAAGAATATCAACATAATTATTATTACTTTTAAAGATATAAGCCAACAGTCATCTTTTGATTAGTTTGTAAGAATCATTCTGATCTAATTCTTGGATAACTTCATCAACCAATCCTGGCTTTAGCAAACGTAAGATGACAAAGATGCTGACACGACTTCAAATGTTACTTGACTCTCAGAGATTTGGCATGAATTCAAGTATTTCTAAAAGCAGAATGAAAATATGTGTAGTTGTCTTTTTGATAGCTGTTAATAATTGGTAAACAAAGTAAAATTATACCAGAGTTCTTGAATCATTTATTCTGGTGCCTGACTATTTTAATAAAGTTGTCTTTATGATTAATGAAAGTTGCGGAGTGAGCAATTTGTGCTTTATATTCTGTACTGAGATTAAAGTGTGGAGTATTTATCCAAGGAAGCATTTGGTAGCATCTTTGCCTAATTACTGGCCAAATTCTAAGGAGTGTGGTTTTTGGAACCTAGAACCTGAATCCTATCAAAAATCTAATAGATTTGTTTTCCAAATTTCAAATGAGCAGTCATGAAAAATTTACATGAGCCATAGATGTCTATTGTATAGGAAAACTTGTGAACCAGGGGCACAATTTTGGAATTGACAGTATTGTAGTGAAGGAGTCCTTAACTGGCTATTTCCCTGGAGGCAAACATTTTGAGCAGCTCACATGTTATATCTGATAGAAAACTCTATTGTGCTGCAGAGGTGATGGCATCCGACAGATACTGCTATGAGAAACTGAATATCGAAGGGACCGAGAAGGGCAACTGTGGGAAAAATAAAGACACGTGGATACAGTGCAACAAACGGTGAGATGGATAAGTCAGCCCCGAGTTGATCCCTTAGTTAATTACAAACACTACTTTTTAAGCCACCAGGACATACCTGTTTTCTGCATCCCATGAAGCACTGTGCTGCCTTTCATCTCTTCCCACTGTTCCAGCATCATCTTTACGGAAGGCTCCCAAATCTTAACATGTACACTCACCTCTCTTCTAAGGCCCAGGTCATGCTTATAGCTGCCTCAGGACTTTCTTACCTAGAAGACATCTGCGAGCATCTCAGAAGCAAAAAAATTAAAGCCACCAGAATATATACTCAATGAACTGGCTCTGACTTTTCTAAACTACTGTATTTCCCAAAGGTCTTAATATCTCACTGTCCCTCTGATTAGAAGCCTCAGAAGATGATGCTGGACTCCACCTTCTCTCTGGCAAATTGTCCAAATGCAAATCATGTCCTTTCTTCCCTTTTACTCCCTACCATTTGTCTTGAATCCATCCCTTCATTTCCATTCCTTTTGCGTTAATGAGCAAACTAAGACCTACATTAACTCTTCAGCTAGTACAAAGGCCTCTTAACAGTTTTTTTATGGCAGCAGTCTCTAAGAGTCTGACACTAGAATAATTACTGACTCTTTGACTATGTCAGTTCTTTGTTCAAATTTCACTGGTTTCACATAGCTAATTAACAGTAAGAATAATGCCCAACATGGATTGAGTGCACACGGTATGCTAAGCGTTGTATTATGCTTTACATGAGTTATGTCATTTAGTCTTTATGTCAGTTCTCCCCATTTTATGGAAGAGGAAACTGAGGCACAGTTGCTAATTTGACCAAGGTCATATAATTAAGATGTAATAGAAGCAGAATTGGAATTCAGGCAATCTGATTTCAGAACTCTACTTTAACTGCTTTGTAGAATGTCATACTATCTTGTTTAACAAACACAATGGAACCTTAGCTTGGCACTGTACCTCCTCCACAATTTGCCCCCAAATATCCATTTCTCTGTGTGTTTTTCTCTATTCTTGCGAGGTCTAGCAAACCTTGCACTCCTAATATGTGCATTATATTGTCCTGCCTCTGTGCCTCTGCTTGTGCTATTCATTCCTCTGGAAGCACTCTTTATACCCACTTTATTACCAGTCAAAAATGTATCCATTCTTCAAAGATCTGCTTGGACAATACTTTCTCTATAAATTATTTCTGGATTAAATCTAGAAATAAATCATCTCCTTCTTCTCCTCAGAACTCTCACAGCCCTTTGTACTATTCTTATGACCCTTGTCCCCAACTCTATGTTCTATAGTTGTTCATGCACGTGATTTCTTTTCTCATTCAGAGTGTAATTTCCTTGAGGATAAAAATCATGTCTAATTTTCTTTACATATACTAAAGTACTTAGTAAACTCCATGCACATAAATGACACTCAACAAATGTTGAGCCCTGGCCATGTGGCTCATTGGTTGTGTTGTCACATGCACCCAGAGGTCATGGGGTTGATTGCCAGTGAGGCCACATGCCCAGGTTGCAGGCTCGATTGTGCAGAAGGCAGCCGATCGATGTTTCTCTCCTTCTACTTTCCTCTCTCTCTCTCTAAAATAAATAAAAACATAGAAAAATTTTTGAATATGTTTTTCTGTGTTAAGCATTTTTGTTTATGACAGACACTTAATAAAATGGTGATGTAATTTTTAAAAATTCTTTTTTAAGAATGAGTTAATATATTTTTCCTGTGTTGGTGATAGATACAAGTCTTAATTTTCCCATTTTCTCTACCTGATGAAGCCTAATATTTTCATATGTAATCCTAATGGCCTACTAATCAGTCTTCACAAGATATTTATTAGAATATAGATTTATCATATCTACATTAGTAATTAAAATGTGTTAGATATAGAGAATATGTAAGATAGTATTTAAAACCAGTGGAAATATTTTATAAGTTAAATTAGAATTGTATGTGATATTGGGGGAGTGGTGAAATACACTGAAGAAGAGATCATGAGCCTATATGTCCAGAATTTATAAGGGGGTGTGTGTGCAGGTGCATGTGCATGTGCATGTATGTGTGTCTGTGTGTGTGCATGTGCATGCACATATTAATCTCTTTTTTAATTCTGGGGCAACAAGTTGAAGAAAGACCTATATTCCAAAAGAATCCTCATCCAAAGGTCATTCATTCATTTATTAAATTTAAAACAATGTTTTAGCATATCCAGTGACATGTTATAGGGAGAGAGAATCTGATATAAAAGAAGTCTAATTGATTGGTAATTTCCTTTCAATAAATATTTGAACTAATGGACAATAAAGAAATAGCTAGAAAATAGTTGGGATTTTGGTGCACCAATGAGTTTCAGAGAGGACATGTTTTAAAGCTGGAATAAACTAACTTAGGTGTATTTTATTTTTCTTGTAACTTGAACAAATAATATAGTTGATGAAAAACAAATGCTAAAATGAGGTAAGATTATTGTTCTAGCTGCACATGGTTGTAAAGTAAATAATTGGTACTGTTTTAACACAGGGATGTGCTTTGTGGCTACCTTTTGTGTACCAATGTTGGTAATATCCCACGGCTTGGAGAACTTGATGGTGAAATCACATCTACTTTAGTTGTGCAGCAGGGAAGAACATTAAACTGCAGGTAATTCTCTCTGACCATTCTGAGAACATTAGTCATCTTCTGAGGAATGCAATTTAGGAACTCTTCTCAGTTCACATGCATATTAGCTGGAAAAAAAAATTTTGCCCATAGAGATGATTGAGTAAATCAGGACAGAAGAGAGACAAAAAGAAGGGAAGAATTAAGGTTTAATTTGCATTTTATTCTTATGAAGGAAAAAAATGTGAATTTCGGGGTAAAATCAGTGGATTAAATATATGCATCTTCTTTTGCTCCCTTCTGAGATTCCACCAAAATGACACTAAATGATTTTTTTTTTTTTTTAAATTCAGATATTCACAGGGAGGCAGAGAAAGGGAGAGGAAACAACAGCAACAAGATTTTGGAATGTGGAGAGCAAGTGGATATGTGACAAATGACTATCAAAACTAAGAAAGCTAAACAGAGAACTAAGCCAATATATACTGTCAGTTCTCAAAAAGCTCAAAAAAGCGTCATTTACTTATGGAAGAGGTAGTAAAGGATTAAGGGCTAGGGCAGGGGCTAAAATACAGACCACTGAAGCACTAACAGACTGCTTCCTGACTCTGCTGAAGTGGGTATTGTTCATCTCCCCCTTCCCCCCCCCCGGAGGATTTCAGCTTGATATTCTGAGATAGTAAAATCGAAGGTGTCCAGACTGAAGGACAGCAGGCAGTACTGACATCAAGGTTGTCTGGAAGGGATCCAGCCTCACAGGCGTTCAGTCAGAAAGCCCTGGAACTCCCAAACATCTGTCTATTCCCGCACCTCAAATATGAGCAGATTATCAGACATGTGAAGAAAGTCCCTAACATGAAAAAAGAAAGGGATAAAAACAACTAACTAGAAAAACAACCACCTATCAATTTTTATGAGAGATAAGGTACTTCTATCATGAAACAAGTATAGAGTGCTATTCTAGCAAACATTCAGAGAAGGAAAACATGCTGTTGGAAATTAAAAATATGATGGCTGAAATTAAACTCAATAGTTGAAATGTTCTTCCAGAAAATAGGGCAAAAGAGGGAAATAAATGAACATATAGAAGAGCTCATCAAATTAGAGTAGAAATAATAAAGAACAGAGAAAACAGCAGGGAGAAAATTGTCAATGAGTCACTCAAGAGTATTGTCTGGAGCTGATGGACTTGAATTTCTTTATTGACAGGTTCACCAAGTACCAGGTACAATGAGTGAAATTAGAGGTACATTAAACATATCATCTTGAAATTTCAGAACCTTAAAATAAAAAATAAGAATTTCAAATGTTTCCAGAGAGGCGGGAGAAAAAAAAAGTCAGACATTGGAATGGCTTAGGATCTATCAACAGGAGCCCTGGGAGCCAGAAGACAATGGAGAAAATGAACTTCCAAACTAGAATTCTGTGCCCAGGCAAGATATCAGTCAAGGGTGAGGGTAGAAAGTAATGACACTTTTATATATGCAAGTTTCCCCCAAATTTTCTCCCTTAAATCCTTTCTCAGGAAGCTACTGTGCTCCACCAAAATGGAAGAGTAAACTAAGAAAGAGAAAGGCAGGGAATTTGGGAATCAGGATCCCCACCATGACAGCTATCCTCCAGTGAATGGTGAGGGGAAGTCCAAGATATGCAGCTGTGCACCAGGTACAGGAACAAGATCAGGTGGTGCAGGGGACAGTCCAGATGGGAACTCTAGGAGAAATTTCCACAGGAAGATGAACTGGTGTGCAGACACATCTCGCACGGAGATTTTGACATATAAAGAATTAATTTATCTATTTGACTCTTTAAACTCTATGCATGTAAAATTTTCATAAAAATTAATAAAAATAAAAAGAATGGAGATATTGAAATGGTACCATATGGATAAATTGATTATGAATATACATTTTCAATATCGTTTATTTTTTTAATTCCTACATAATATGTAGGATTGCTATATTGAATAGTGGCGTTACAATAGTTAAGCCATTCTCAAATGTCATTTGTAAATGTAGCAATTGTTTTGAGAAATGTAAACCAAAATCAGTTCTCATTTTGTTTAAAACATGTTTGAAATCTTGAAACCTGTTTACTTATCGAATCAAATACTAGTAATAATGACTGACTTGACTTAATATCCAAGGCAAAATGATAAAACTATCTAATTCATGCACTTGTTATAATAATTATGTTTAAATCCAAAGCTATATTAATATCTCAGAATTAGATCAAAAGATGAAATTGCTTTCTCCATTTAGAGGAAAATGCTTATACTCTCATTTTTTATTAGATAATATATAGAAAATATAGAAAGTGATACTGCCTACTTTTCAGTGTTTACACATATTCTCAAAATGAATGTGAATTAATGGAATCCCATTGTTTCCCTCTCTATTGTCAGTGGTGGGCATGTTAAGCTTGAAGAAGATGTAGATCTTGGCTACGTAGAAGATGGGACACCTTGTGGTCCCCAAATGATGTGCTTAGAACACAGGTGTCTTCCTGTGGCCTCCTTCAACTTTAGTACTTGCTTAAGCAATAAAGAAGGCCTTGTTTGTTCAGGAAATGGAGTAAGTATTCAGTACCTTGCCATGGGAAATTACTCATTTCTTTTATATCACAGAAATAGATATGACCCTAAACTACTTATTTCTATAATAATGCAAAACATGCTCATCCCTGTTTCTAAGCTAGCGTGCAGACAGTTATCTTGTCATAGTCATTTGAATATGTCTGTTGTGTAATCTGCAAAAGCCTGGGAATAAGGAACATGTAATCTTCCTAACCAAATTTTTTTATCTTCCCTTCTTATTATATTAGTGTGATCTCAAATACTGTAATGCCAGTTTTCTACAAGTGATCTAAGAGACACATTTTAACAAACTATAGTGGGACAAAAAGGGAGTAAAAGACAGGGAAGTGGCCACAATATTTAATAACTGGTGTGGCCCAGGCACTGGCTGATTCGGACAGACCGTAAGTAACTATAGCCACACCAGTGTGAATGAGCTGAGGAGAACACCTAGACATAAAAACAGAATAATTTAGGGAAACGTTTCTCACAGACAAATAGAAAGAGTGACAGTGTTTAAAAGACGAAATTCCATGCTTTCAGGCATATATCTCTTCATCTAATTTATAAGTTAAATAAACATGCTCTATTAGTGATTATAGTTTTGTCACTGTCAGTAAGGAATTCCTATACCAACAGAACCTTTTTTGGTTCCTTTTCTTTTGGCATGTGCTGTGATTTTCTTCTTACCCTTATTCCAGATTCTGTGCTTGAACTGGTTTATTATCCAGTTGAGGTAAAGGATCTCTGTTCTGGGATTGTGAGCCTGCAGTCCTGGTAATTCCATGCGTCTCCCCAGGGATATGCCAGGAATTTCCTTAGGGAGGCCTTCCTACTTGTTACACTTCCAGTGGGTAGGAATTCTTATGGCCCCTGAGAATGGAGAAGGCTTGTCTTAAGTAGCTCCGCTCCTAGAAAGGGGTCTGCTAAGCCTTCTTTCATTAATAAGAGGATGTTAGGGGGAAATACATTTTGGGCGGAGAGGGGAAAGGACAGTGGAAACTTTTCTTGGTCATCCATGCTAATGAGTTACCATGCCTTGTTCATCTAGAAATCCTGAGTATATAACACAGAGACCAAAATTTGTGTTAAATAGCCATTTGTTTAATGCATGAGTAAAAGAGTGACAGACACAAGTAATTCAGGTAGCAGGTAGCATTCAGATCATTTATAATGATTATTCATATACAGAGATGTTAAATCCTATGTATTTTTGACTTAAAGTAACTCAACTCTGAATATGTGGCGAAAGTTGAAATGAGAAATAGAGTAGATAGACTTACGGGCTGCACATTGTGCAGTTAAGAATGTAGACTCCGACTCAGACAGTCTGAGTTTGACTCCCAGCTCTATTCTTACTAACTGGGTGAGATTGGGCAAGTTACTTAGCCTCTCTGACTCTAATTACTTAGCAGATTATATAGCCTTTCTTCCTCTGTGAAGTAGAAAAAATAATATTGCCTGTTTTACAGGACTGTGACAAATCAATGAGTTAGTATTTGTAACTTACGATACTTATCACAATGCCTGTGACATAGCGTTCAATAAATGTTAGCTATGACTCTGTTCACTCACTGTGCACTTGTCACTATGTCACTGGTGCTGTTGTGTGATATGGAAACTGATATGTGGAAAAGCCAGTCGACCTGGTGAGCTCTGTTGATAAGACTGGTGGTGGTTGTGTTGCTGCCAAGAACCGGAGCCAGTCCAGCTGCTGCCACAGTTCTTCCAGCTGCCCTACAGTGTCGTCTCATTTAGTAGAGCAGCCACCGCCCCTTCACAATAATGACTGTGAGGAAGGGGAGCAGCCTCACCAGTTTCCGGGTGGAGCTCCCCATGAACGGCAGCACTGGCAGTGACAATAGCAGTGGGGAAAATGGGGCTAGAATACGTCCTTTCCTTGTCCTCTATCTACAGTGGAGATACAGAGGAGATTCTTTTGGATGCACAGCATGAATCAGGACAGAGTAGTTCACAGGCCATTTTCACTGTGATGGCCCTTCCCCACGAGAGGATGGGCAGGCTCTGTTTGGTGTGGAAATCACACCAGCAGGGACCACAGCCCTCAGTCGTAAGAAGTTGTAGGGGAGAAAGAAATCAGTGCTTCGAAGAAAGTGTAGCCTGGGTGTCCGACAGGTCCAGTAGGCCTGACAACATTCCACCTAAGGAATTCTACTTCAGGCACCCTAAATGTTGTTTCTCGAAGCCTGAGGAGAAGAGGAGCCATGAAGAAAGGGGATATTTTCTCTGCAGACTTGCTTAAGGTGTTCATTCCATCTCTTCCTTTCTCACGTTTGGGCTTCAGGGCTCTATTGGAAATACAGCATCTATATAGGAATACGACTGAGCACACTGCCTGCCAGCATCCAGGACAGAAAGCCCTGGAAAAGCATGTGACCCTAGAAGCGGTCTGTTGTCCCAGTGGTTTATTTGAACTTGACACCATTGTAAGCATGGCCCAACCTACAACCCTATTTTGCATATCCCAGCTCCAGGAACTCTCAGATCCAGTATTCAAACTGTCACAGCATTTTACCAACCTCATTCTCTTTTTGGCCTGTCAGACACTTGAGAATTTCTTAACAGAGTTAACTGTTGTTTTAGAAATTTGCAGCGGCTTCTTTTCCGTAAATGTCACCAAGCAGATAATAATTTTGTCAACATGCTATTGTGTCCTTTTAGTAGCACCACACTTAAGCCTGCATCGTTCATGATATAAATTTTAATCTTGCAAAATTACTACCATCTCTCTCTTAAAATGAGGTCAGGTTAGCAAATGATATAAAAGCTTTGCTTTGTTTTGTTTTACAAGACAAAGGCAAGCTTTCCAGAGCTTGAATTTATTGTTATTTAAAAAGAACAAGAAAAAAATGAGACACAAGAAAAAAAATAATCTGGGTAATAAAAATTTATTTTAAACCAGAAAAAAGACCCCCCCCCAAAAAGACAGTGGTGAAATGGGGAATCAAACTCAGGCCTTCTGACTCTAAGCCTAAACCTTTTTCTTCCTGCATATTTGTTAATCTGCAGAAATTTATTAATCTGAATTAATTTGAGATCTGCAATTTGTTAATCATATATAACAGTTACATTTAGATGTGGACATAGGTTTTCCTCTTGCAAATTAGACCAGACAAAAGACAACCCACCCAGTGAAACCCTGTCTCCCGAAGAACTCTGATCTCAAACCCAGCTGAATTCTCCCCTGCATCCCACTCCATTTAAAGTGGTTTTGAATTATAAGAGCTAGGTATAGATTCTGTTTCCTGGATATATAAATGAAGACAGATTATTGTCTGATAATTTTTAAAAACTTGGTGCCATTTTTATGTGAAATTTTTCCTGCGCTTTGTTTGAGGTAGTTCTTATTTCCCATGACAGTGAGGCAGCTCATCTGTGTAGCTTGTGTTGAGGTGCCAGGGTTATGGCTTTGTGAAGCTTTCTTCTCAGACCACTGCAAAGCATCAGCCTTCCCCTCTTCTTTGTCAGAGTTCTCTTTATCTCGTCTGCTTCCTAAAAGAGGAATAAAGTTTTAGTATAAAGACTCTTTTGGAAGAAAGAAACCTTTGTATTGGATAATTAGCAAATGATTTTATTTCTGCTTAGTTTTTTAAATCTCCCTTTTATAAAATTTAATGAAATTCAAAATAATAACTTTATTGATTTTTAGACATAAATTTATCCTTCTGTTAAAATTTATTATTCCCTTTGGGTCAACTGTTGATCTCTTGAAAATATTTTTTAGGCACTTGAGTAACAAATAAGTAATTAGCATTAGGAAGAAAGTACCAATAATTTTTCAGTACCATCCAATTCTAGACATATAATAATTGGAAGTGGATGCTTATTTTTCATGCCTTTGCACAGGAGAGTTGACATTTACTCTAGATTGATTTTGGATTTCAGGTTTGCAGTAATGAGCTGAAGTGTGTGTGTAACAGACACTGGACCGGGGCAGACTGCAGCACTTACTTCCCTCACAACGACGATGAAAAGGCTGGTATAACTCTGTCCGGCAACGGTAGGTCCTTCATTTGGTACCATTAGGTAGCCTTTATACACAAGGAAGGAGAAAACTGCCCTTCAGATAGTTTCATTTGAATTATTTTTATAACTCAAGTATCAGTTAAATCCACAGAGTGATGAATTATAATATACATCTGGGTCCACATTATGAAACGGATCATTTCCATTAAATTGTAATGATATGTAATATTGAATATAACTTAATCTATTGATTTAACATTTTCTTGTCCTCATCAGCCTGAGGTTTTTTTCAAGTATTATACAGTACTTGTTTGGAGCTGACAATGAACCCTAGCATTTTTTTTTTAATTAGGAAAGTAGTCATACTTCTTAACTGTCTGAATTTGAAGGAAGAATTTTATATTTTGGGATGGAATAAATAAGAAATAGAAGAATTGATTTTTAAATTTTTAGTTGACTTTAATATTGTTTATCCTAGAATTTCATTTGTATTCAACCTCAGTTCTATAGCCTGAACTGTATATAATCCTAGAACTAGTAACCTTGGCCAGGGTGCCTGGAAGGGGTTTAAGGACATGGGTCAGAAATAACAGGTGCAGTTCTAAAAGCTAGATTGACCCAAATAGACAAGTAGAAATTAAATGGAGATAGCCGAAAGAACACAGACCTTGGAGTTAAGTGTCCCCTTTTAAACTATTTTATCATTTCATTATTGAGTATTCTTTTGCATTAAGTAATGCTCAAGTCCTAAAACCCGTTCACTTCCAAAGGAGAGAATAAAGGAGTATGTTATTCTGATCATCCAGACAGGTTAAAAATCTTAGCCAATGCAGCTTTAACAAATAAAGCCACAGAATGATTAAGAGTTTGGTATTCTTAGTCTTAGCATGGGTAGTCTGGAGTTTATTCCAGCAGAGATGAGGCTATTGAGGCTATTCAGGTCCATTGATTTAAGTTACTTGTCAAAAGTCATACCGTTCCTTAGAAATAATCAGGGTTAGCATCCAGATTTATTGCCCCCTCTTAAATTCCTAGAAGAAAAGGAAGGGAAGACAGGCATGCTAGGTCTTAGAGTGGGAAAATCCCAGTGACCCAGGGGTCCTCTGGCATCAGCATCTACCCATCCCACAGAGGACCTGGGCAGGGTGGAGTCTGCCAGTCTCCTCAGATGCCCTAGTCCTGCTGTCTGGCCTGACTACAGAGGGCCTGCAGATAGAGAGGCTGCCTCTTCGGTTTTGGGGAACTGGAATCTGCTCCAGTTGCCTATGATTACTGATCTTTGATGTTTAGAAGAATGCCTCAGGAGTGCAGCAGACAAGGAGAGATCTGAGCTGCTCTGGGTGAAACATGTGACTAAAACATATGATATAAATAATTATCAGCAAAACAGGTCTCCTGGTATCAAAGCCAGCCCTCTGACCTGCCTTTTCTGCTCTTGGGCTGTTACTTGGGCTTGTTGACCAAGTCTTTGACTTACTGGGCCACTCTCTCTGCCATGATCCCCTTAAGAATTACATCTCAGTCTGCCTGACAATGGATGCTGACACACGAAGTCATTACTGGGTCCTAAGCTTCAGCCTGCCCTGGCCCTGGCCCTGGCCCTCACCCTCTGCCAATCAGATGCCTCCTGCTCTCATGTCTCAATAGCACCGTCTCCAGCTCACCAGATTCTCTTTTCCTTTAGTGTTTCTTTAGGATGCCATGGCCATCACTGCCAAGACTGAGAACTGTAAGCCCAGGGCGTTTATCATCTACACCACCTGGGCACTGATTATATAAATCTGTAGACATCTTTTCTTCCTTAAGAAGCTTATGTTTACTTTGAGAGACAAAATATCATATGCATAACTGAGAGCAATAATGACCTTGATTAGGTGTCAGAATGAAGTGATATGAGCAGTAACATTCCTAGAACTTCTGGGGAAGAGGTCAGGGTCAAGAGGAGCATAGATTTCTACAAATTCTTCCCCAGTGGGCCCTCGGCCAATGTGGTAGGATTGCCCCTTCTCCCTGCCCTTATCTTTATTCTTTCTTTAGTTCAATGAGCTCATCATATTTTCCAGAAAAATCATGGAAAATACAGTTGCACAAAATGTACTTGGGCAAGAATTGGAGCATACACAAAGAATTATTGCTGCACATTGCTAAGTTATGGTTGATTTTTCTTCCCTTTAAAAAATACCTACTTAAAAAAATACTTTAAAATAATCCTGTTGTTGTGAGGATTACAAATCTGGAGAATAAAGTTCCTGGAAGAATTTTATATCAAAATTTCAATCACATACACTGATCTTCATTGTTTCTTTTTTCCCTCCAGGTGTTGCTGGTACCAATATCATAATAGGCATAATTGCTGGCACCATTTTAGTGCTGGCCCTCATATTAGGAATAACTGCATGGGGTTATAAGTAAGTGAAATATCTCAGTATTTTTACTATCAAAATATACTTTAAAACATTTTGTTCAAGTGAATTGAACACCTAGAAAGTTTTATGTCATTGGATAAATATATCCACAGTGAAGCTCAGTCTGGCTCAACAGTCAGTCAATGATTGTTCTTGGCATGATTAGAGATAAAGATAATTTATCTTTTTTTTTTTTTTTTTTTAGATTTTGAGATAACTTCCATCTGTTCTAAAAGTACTGAATATTTTCTTAAAACCATTATTTGAACTAAAATCAGTCTAAATCATGTCTTATACAGAGGTTATGTGGCTTACTCTTTGGTGACACAGGTTCTCTCTTGACTTAACCTCATGCCCAGAAATCTAGGCAAGATCGTCAATTAGATAGCTTAGTGCTTTAAAAATAACAGTGATAGCAACAAGAGCAGCCGCAGATCTGTTACTGAGTGTTCACGATGGCTCTGCATTGGGCTGAGGGCAAAACCTCTATCTTCACAACCAGTGTGAAGGAGGCACTATTTGTTAAATATGTAGGCATTTTTGTGTGAAGAAAAGACTGTTCAGAGATGTTTGTTAAAACTAAAATTCAACTTTGTCACAACTTTAAAAAGCCAAATTCTTTCTTAAGCTTCAAAGTTCACCTTTTAATTTTTTGGTTCTATTTATAAATTTTTTAAAGCTATGCTATATAAAATTTAAAAATCAGACCCCCTTAAGCATTTAGCTAAGTAAGTGGCTTCAAGTATTCCAAGCTTATTTATATATTTTATATGTTCAATTTACTTAAGTACTTCAGTCTTAGGATGTGAAAAATGTCCTTAGTATTCATATAACTTATTTAATTTTAATAAATTAAAACTTAAACAAGGTGAACCTTAAGTTCCCTTTAATATTTCAAATTAAAAACTGTAGTTCTGCTGATTCTGATGGTATTTCAGCTCCCAGCCCTAGGTGTTTGTGCATTTGGGAGTCCTGCAACTTTTGCTAGATATTCTAGGCATTGACTTGTTTTATAGCATTTCTTTCTCCTCCTAGACCAAACTTAGTTGCTAAAAGACTTGGGAATTAGACTATGTCATACTTTAAAATTGCTCCAAAGCTTTCAATAGACTAATCACTATGTAATTGTTTGCTATTATTATTTTCACCTGACATGATCTTAAACCAACTGAATCAAAGGGAATATCTTTAAAAGTGTATATGGCTGTTGCTTGTGGTGAGTCCAGAACCCTGAGTTTCTTTGACTGAAAAGAGAGTAGTTTGTATGCCGAAAGCATTAAAATACTGAGAGACATTTGAGGAAGGCATTATTAACAGTAGCACAGACAGCACAGTAGAGTTTAGCATAGCATAGCGAGGAGAGCACAGCATAATAGTAATGGTTTGGCCTGATTAAATGAGTATCTAGCTCTCTACCAGCTCATAGATGCTCAATACCTCTGGGCCTCTTTGATGTGCAGGTCATTAGGTATATTGTATACTTATATTTGCATGTGCTGATTTAAGCATAACATTTGGAGTTATAAAATTACAGTCTGAAAGGAAAGCCTTCCTGTATATTTATTGTTGGATCTCCCCTCACACCTCAGTTGAAATAACCCCATCTTAGAGCTACACAATAGCCTTGACTTGCCTGATGCAAGACTTCTATTAGTAACTGCCATCACAAGCATTGTTGTTTTGAAGTAGCTCAGTGGTTTCATTGTTGTGTGAGAGGGGAAAGAAAAATGGTTAGTTCTATATTGTGTGATTTTCTGCCACCTACGGATGCAAGTTGATATTTTATTTTTATAATCTTGGAAAAAATTACCTTTCAGAAAATATGAAACCTAAACCTCTTCTCCTATTACTAATAATCTCTGCTCATTTGTTTTAATGATTAGAATGAAAAGTACTTCTTTCTGTATATCATTCTTATTTTTATGAATTTTTTTGAAGTGTCATTGTTTTTATTTTCAATTCTAAATATATGAACTTTGCAGATTAATTAAGGAAAAAGACAAATCTTGTCTGTACTGCAGTTTTGTCTTCATAAGTAATTGGAATGTAAATGATGAAAGTTTTAATGTTACTAAACTTACTCAGAATATGTTTAAAAATAGAATGAGAATGTAGAAAATGTTAATACAGAAATTAATTTCATTAATATATTTCACATATTCTATTCCAAATTAAAAAATGGATTTAGGACCTCAGAACTCATTTCCTCATTAATCCTTCCAATTAAACTGTCTACCCTTTTTCCAAGCCTTGGAGTGAATCAGGGAATGGCAGATTAGGAAATAAGGAATGCTCATGGGGAACTGGGGGACCACTTAGGTGATCAAATTGAGAGAACAGAAAGTAAAATATGTTGAATAGAGATTTAGGGCTTATATTTCCTCCCATCTGATGGTTTCAGGAATGAAAAATAATAAGTAACTAATTGGCACTTTTAACTTCGTTATCTATCATTAAGCAAGATACTTATTGGGTACACGGACTAAATCTGCAGGTAAACGTGATCCAAACAAAATCCATATGGAAACATTATCTTGATCTTGGAGGAAGCCCACTATTCAGTTGCTTGACCTTTCTAACTTGTCTTCAAAATAGTAACAATTAGGTCAGGATAGAAAGTTAAAAATGAACTCTTCTGAGTCAAAAGTTAAAAGTCACTGGTGCCTCAGAGCGACCACACCCCCTAGAACACAGTTAAGATTGATTTATTTAAAAACTCATGTAATTTTATTTTAGTATATGGCCAAATGAAAAAACAGAAAACTAAACTTTGAGCAAAGTATTTCTATTGCGAAGCTTGTAAGAAAGTAGTAATCACTTAGGAGATCATAACCTTTGTGAATGAACTCAGCTGATTTATCACAAATGATGAAACCAAATGTCCTCGTGTTCATTTATGTTCCCCTATTTTAAATCCTTAGGAATAGCTTTAGTGTGGGTATATATTGAATCTAAAAAGGAATGAATTATGATTTGTATTTTTGAAAACACAGTTAATTTATATAAGTAACTTGATTACTTAAGTTTATTATTTAAAGCAATACACACATCTGAATACCTGTATTTGAAATAGGATTGACTTTAAAACATGACTAAATATTTAATATGATGCAGTCAGTATTGAGAAAAGTTACTCTTTTTAATAGCTGAAGTTTTTATTCTTTAAGAAATAATTATTTGAAAATATTGTTATTAACCATTTGGTGTCACTTCTCCTAAAGATAAGTGAACTATGTGTTTGTATGACTTTGTACTCCGCATTTTAATTCTGCTGTTCAGAATCCTATAGTGGAGACCTTTCAATGAATGCTAGAGCTTTTATGTTTAGTGCTCTCTCTTAATACTCTTTTGTAGGTAACTAATTCTTTTTTTTCCCCCTTTCTCTACTTGTCCATGAAAAGAAACTATCGAGAACAGAGGTATGTGATGATGTGATGAGACTAATCTGAACATACAACTGAAAGTTTTAAATCCTACTAGCATCATTGGAATTCACACATGCATTTATAAATCAGGTTTACTTTTTTTATGCTCTAGTGGTCATAAACTAATCTTGATTTTTCGTGACCTTAAAATGATAATTTTAATAATGGTGCTGTGGAATGTATTAATTTAAAAATATCTATCATTATTTAATTTTAATTATTGTTTTTAATCCAACAATACTACAATTAATAAGAGTCCTAATTTGTGTTACTTTTATAGTAATATATAGGGAAATTGATTTTTTTCCTTCTAAAACAAAACTTCCTCTATGTTAAGGTGTCACCTTTGTTACATGAGTTAATTAGCTTTCCTTCATGTTTATAACACTCTTATTTCCTAGTACTTTCAGAAGGGATTTAATGTTTATTTGTTACTGTTGTTATATTCAGTAACTTCATTCATAGTGATAAAATTTCTATGGGCACAGTGTTGTGGTTGGGAGAATGTCCTGGCACTTGATGAGCCTGTTTAATCTCTGCATAAGAAAATATTTTTGTACTAGTTAGGTAATTGCACAAATAGTTAAAGAAATACTTTGCATAGTTGGAACCTGGTTGTTTAGTGTACTTTTTTTTTAAATAAAAAAAAGCCCATAAGGTCAGGCACCCCATTCATCATAACCTTAAAAATCTATGTTTAATCTACAGCATAAAAAGGAATACAAAGCATTTCTGTACTTCCGTAAGAATTGACTATTTTTTTAAAATAAATCTGAATTAGCTCATATTTGGGTACACCCTTTAACTTTCGTTTAAAAAATTACTAATGCTATTAGCTATTGATACAAAATAATCTAAAGTATCCTGGAAATCGATAGCCCTGACTAGGTCCTGTACATCATAGAGTGCTAATTTTGTACTCAAGATATCATTGCAGATTAGTACTTACTTAGCTTTTCCTACTGTTTTTTTAAATGCCTGTGGCAGATTAGGAATAAGATATAATAAACTTGGTGAGATTTTTTCAGGCCCCAACCACAGCTTTCAGTTTTTCACAAATTAAAATTATAACTTTACCTTCTCTTTCTTTCCATGTGTAATTTAAAATTCCTATAAGTTTTAGTCATAAATATCTATAGAATCTCTGTGAATAAGTGGTGCCCACAGGGTACCAACTGAGATCCTGGTCAGTTAGCACAGGTATTAGAAAATATTCACCTTGCCCTGGAGTAACAAACTCATTATTAATGGGAAAAGTAAAACTGAGGCAAAATTAAATTAAATTTTATTAATTTAATAAATTAAGTTAAAATTTTAAAACAACTAGATTTCTTTGTGCCATGTTTTAAATTTTCGTGTCTTGAAACATTGGAAAAGAGCTGGTGCCATTTAAGCTTTCTGTTGGGTAGAAGTTGATCAGTCATATCAGAAATTTAAGTTTGGTGACTTTCTTCAGGGAAAAATAGAATTGGGCTAATAAGATAAAAAAATTGATGATTCAGATCCATTTCCATAGGAGCTAAGGCTATAATGTAATTTAATATTGCTGACTGTATAAAAGGGAAAGTAAAGGATCACAAATATGTAACATAAGCAAACAGTGCTCTAAAGATGTGTCCTTACCACAGATACTACCCAGAATAAAGGAATTGTCCATAGTACAAAAAAAGAAAAGAAAAGGTTACTGTATAAAGCTGTGGACCAATCTTATTCTAACTCAATATATACATAGCTGTAGTTAAGGAAATTTTTACATTTAGACTGTCCTTTATGTACCTGATATAATTTCATGTCTCCTGGTATTACTGGTATTCATCATTTCATCACCTGGCTACTCTTTTGGAATCTAGTTTATATTTTGAGAATTGTCACATCTTAAGCAGATATTTATTTTATATATTTTGATTTGTTTTAACACAACCTTTATTATTATTATTATTTTTTGCTCTTGTCCATAGCTAATGACTCTTGGGTTTGTACAGTAATTCTCACAGTGGAGGAGTAGCAGAGTGGACTTTAGATCAGGAAGTCGTGAATGTATAAATATCTTCTGAAGGATTTTTCTTTTTGAGAATATATATGGTATCTGCCCCAAAATGTATACACACTTTAAGAGCTGATAGCTCAATTGATTTTTCTTTCTCTTTGATTTAACCTATTGGAATTAATAATTATTCAAAGTATGTGTACATTTTGGGGGGGACACCCGGTATGTTAAGTGGTTATAGAGAAGATGGAAAGACCAGAGGACCAAAGCATACATTAAGAAATTCACAACCTTGTAAAATACCTGCAGATATTCAAATAAAGATGTGCCCAGTTTCAAAGGATACCAGGAAGTAGAAATAAGAATTTTGAGTTGGTCTTGCCTTTAAATTAGGTTTTTCTTGGAGGTTCCATGGTAGAAGGACCTTGGTAGTTGTCTGACAAGGAATCAGACATCTACTTGCTATTATGTGGTCTTGGGAAATCACTTAAACTTTCCTCAGTTCTAAAATCAGATAAAGTTCTTTGTAATCTGTAAAGCATTATAGGAAGGGAAGTTATTAGTATGTGGTGTCTGAAGACTGTGTTTCTCCGATCTTCCAATGAAAGAGATGGATGTGGCTCTCAGAGAGGAAGGCAGCATCCACTGGCGTAAGCAAGGCCTGCACATACTGGTGACAGAATTGATGAGCGTAAAGGTTTGCTTTGACACTAAATGTAAGACCATATTAAATGGGTAGCCAGTTATCAGATTTATATTAATAATATAAAGTCTTAGGAATGCCAGATTGGGCATGATTTTCAAATTATTGGAGGGCAAGTAATTCTGTAAAGATACCTGATAACCTGGTAAATGTCCCCTCCAGAGAATGTGTGATTGTTTTAATTGTAGGTCTGACAATAAGATAAGAAGCAAACCCATTTTTTTTCCTCTTTTCCTTTAAAAACTGCTTAATGGAAAATAGAAACTCCATTCTGGGGCGGAGTGGAGGTAGAAGCCCATACATGAATAATATCGCTTTAAACTTGCTAGTGTCATATTGTGAAGGGTAGAGCCGTGGAACCCAGGAGCCACGGAGAATTCTTAAGCATCATGTAGTTAGAAGGATGGCTGTTGATTGTTCCTTTTCTTTAAAATCTTCAGGGAAGATTTTTCCAGTTGGTACTGTTGTTTATATTTTAGCATAATTGCTTTAGGACTTAGCAGCTGTACACTTTATAACAAGAATTTTAAGTTTGAGATGCAGTTTTCAAGCAGATTTGCAAATAGCAATAGAATAAGAAAACATCAGTTGAACTTGGATTTATAGGATACCTATATTCAGCTTAAATATTCTCTTTCTTTGCCTGAAATGAACACACATCATTATAACTAAGGTGAAATAGAATAAACAATTAGATCATGTTTTACTGAGCTATACTTCAGCAGAAATCCCTGTCCCCATTTCTTTTCTCTCTCACCTGTTTTAGCCACTTTATTTTCTGCTTGTGAACCGCCCTCTTTTCTTTCAAACTTTTCTTAGTTTGCTTTTATATTATTATTATTTCAGTGGTAGTCATGCATCTGTCAATGTGACTTAGTACACATTACAAAATATTTCTTAAAACAGTGAAGTAATAATTTCAATGACGGACAGCTCAGACACTGACAAAGCACTGGAGAAATGCCTCCTTCAGGATTAAGGTTGAAAATTAAAAAACTTTTTCATTGTATTATCATTTTGAATGTATGCAAGAATTATTAAATTAAATATGATAGTTCAATGGATCCTTTTAGGAAAGATCAGATTTCCCTCATAACAGAGATCCTTTTTGAGTAAAAAGAATTTAGTTAAATAAGCTTTTATTTTCTTTTAGTCATTATTTATTTTAAAAATTCATGCACATGTCTAAGATATTTACATGTAATATGGGAAATATGTGATTTTTCTCATTATAAAAATGGTCAGGCCACCTAATGTGATAGTCACTGCCAGATTCTAAAATTCTATAAAACCGCCAAAATTTAGGAGGAAAGCCACAAAGACTAGGAAAATAAATTCAGTGTTTAAAAAAATTTAATGAGATCATTTAGATGGTCATTTATGATCTTTTATAACAAATGATGAGATGTTATTTTCTTGATCATGGGGACCTGATATTCTCTTTCTTCACTAAAGGCAAAACAAAAAGTAGCTTCTCTATTTTGGAGACTTTACAATAGAGATAGCTAAGAATCTAATCTGCCTTGTGTGATAAAAACAAGGTGCCCCAGAAATTCATTGAACTTAAACTCCCTTCCAACCCTCTGACTGAAAACCACAGTTTATGATGTGTTTAGCATTTAAGATGTTTGTACACTGTGTAAAAGATGATTACGGCCCTGGCTCAGTGGTTAGAACATTGACCAGTAGACCTAAGGGTCTTGGGTTCGATTCCTGGACATGAGCACATATCTCGGTTGCAGGTTCGCTCTCTGTCCCCATGGGGAGGCAACCAGTCAGTGTGCCTCTCACATAGATGTATCTTACTCTCTCTCTCCCTCTCCTCCCTCCCTCTCTCTGAAAAGCAATGGAAAAAAATGTCCTCTGGTGAGGATTGACAATAACAACAACAAAAGATGATGTACTGCAGAGAAATTACTGAAGGAGTGATAAACGTGCTCAGTTAAAAAAATAAAAAAACTGTACCATCCACTGTGAGAGGCGGCCTATTTAATCCTATGCTATCAGCTAACCGAGGCCTTGGCAAATGCCTAAAAGGCCAGAAACAGGTGAAGAGGAGATAATTCGAGGGAATTAATTAATGAGAAAAGTCAAGTATAGTTGGAACTTGTTTTTATTTAATTTGAAGTTAGTGAGGTACATCTCATCAGCTTAGAAAGATTATCATTAAAGGTAATAGGGACTAAAATGAGTTGTTAACCATAAAGATTATTATTGGCAATGTGATGTTGACGGGATGTTTTCTGGCATTCTTTTATAAATATTAATATGATACAAAAGGGAAGTTTCCTTCCTGAAGCAACATAGACAGCTTTGATTTTTTTGTAATCCTCACCCAAGGATATGTTTGTTTGTTTGTTTTTAATATATCTTTATTGATTTCAGAGAGAGGAAAGGAGAGGGAGTGAGAGAGACAGAAGCATCAATGATGAGAGAATCATTGAACGGCTGCCTCCTGCACGCCCCCCACTGGGGATCGAGCCTGCAACCCGGGCATGTGCCCCGACAGGGAATCGAACTGAGATCTCCTAGATCCTAGGTCAATGCTCAATCCCTGAGCCAAGCCAATCAGGCCCAAACATATGTTTTTATTGACTTGAGAGAGAAAGAGAGAGAGAGAGAGAGAGAGAGAGAGAGAGAGAAACATTGATGGGTTGCCCCCCTTACATGCCCAATGGGACCAGGGATTGAACTCGCAACCTGGGTATGTGACCTGACCGGGAATCGAACCCACAACCCTTAGGTACATGGGATGACACTCTAACTTCTGAGCCACACTGGCTAGGATGACAACTTTGATTTTATTGAGAGGATTTTTTCAAGCATTGATAGACTATTTTACTGATAAAAGGCAAGAAAGAAAATATAATTGCAGAGATTAAAGATATGTTGCATAAGAAGATATATTATTTGTCCTATATTATTAACACTATAAGTGTGGGGGAATTGCATTATTTTATTAATAAAATTGTTTCATAATGTACCAGGAAAAAGAAAGATTACAATTAGGAGCTGAAGTCACTTAAAGGGTTAAAACTTAAAGGATTAAAAATATTTTGAAGGGTTATATATCAAAGAATTATAGGTAAAATTAGTCTTACGATTTTTTTTCTTTAAAGGGGAGGAATAGGTTTAATTACACAATATATGTGCTTTCTGTCAGTTGGAAAAATCTTTAGATTTGTAAAGATGTGTGAAGTACCTGCATAGAATTGAAATAATATGAGCGAGGATATTCCGGCACTTCAGAATAGTGAATGACCAAGTATTTTAAACATTGAAAACAATGTGGTAATGGGTATAAGGAAGCAAACATCTGAAAGCGGCATATTTTGGAGAGAATTTAGCATCAGCAAGTAATCATGACTAGCATGGTAACTAAGGGAAACCCAAATGGGAAAGGAGTTAGCAAATGTGTACTTTTGTGGGAAGCCTATTTCCTACAGTTCTGTTTGAAATTCTCCATCCACCCTGGTTCGTGCTCCGTCCAACAATAGTACCGAATGGCACCGGGTCAAGTTTTTGATTCAGTTGGCAGCTTGGGGGCCGGGCACTGGCAAATGATCAGATTAGCCGCCGAGGAAGGGGGACTGATGAGGTGGTCCCATCTCAAGTTTTCTGCCCTCTTCCTTTTGAGGAAGTAACAAGAATCTGTTCCAGGCTCAGTTAATTCAATACCAGGGCGAGTGTAGCCGGTAACTGTGTGGATTTTCCCGTTGCTCTCCTGCAGTGGAGACAGAGAACCCGGGTCACAGGCCAACTGCATAAATATCCTTCCATGGCCTCATCAGGATTCCGTTATTTTGTAACCCTTTCCTCCTCTGGCTAAATTATCTTCCTTTACATGTTCTCCTGTGCAGTTAACAGAATTCTATTTTTCACTCATCTTTGAGTCTTTTTCTATTTCTTCATATTTTGGTTAAATGAACAATGAAGTTCCAAATGGAACAGAGAACTCTAATAAGAACTTATTTGGATTAATTATAGGACATAACTTAGAAATGCATCAGTTTTTTAGAGACCAATCAAGGTTACATTATATTTAGAAATCATGAGTAGTTTATTCACCGTAGAAAAAAACTATCCAGGCAAGGACTGTCTGTCCCAACAGGGCTCCTTCGGCACCATTGTTTTTTGTGTTTTTTTTTAAGACAGAGCTGCAGTTAACAGCTCTACGGATAATGAAGTGACAGTGAAAAACTTCATCTCTCTTTGTTTTCCCCCTGAAGCAAAGCTTTACTCATTCAGACTGTAAAGGCTTCAGCGATTGCATTCTGATCTCTAGAATGACTTTAACTTGTCGCATTTATTAATAATCGTACGTGTTGTTATAGATTTGATTCATGTAGATCATTATTCCTACCTCTTTTTTCCTAAAATAATATTTGTATATGTCTGTGTTCATGTGTGTGTCTTGTTTTCTGACTCTGAAATGTTTATTATGCCTTAGACAGTTACCCCAGGGAGATTATGTAAAAAAGCCTGGAGATGGCGACTCTTTTTATAGCGACATTCCTCCTGGAGTCAGCACAAACTCAGCATCTAGTTCTAAGAAGAGGTCTGCTTTTCTGTCGCATTTTCAGATTTCTACCTGTTCCATCACACATTATTCCATTAGTCAGAACATTTCATTATTTTGCAGCAGGTTTGATTACTTCTTCCTTCTTTCTTGAATGTTACAAAAATAGTATCCTTTGTTCTTTGATTACTCTGATTGAAAATGCCATATGCTCAGAACCACTTGTTTTAACAAATCAGGCCAGAAAGCCAAACAAAACAAAACTAAATCAATAATGTTAAATCTATATTGAAAACCTAGGGTTTTTCAGTCTTGCTGTTTTATGGCTTAAGAGACTAAGCATATTTTACCATATTTTAAATGGTGAGCTTTATGTCATGTTTGGTAGTCAAAGAAAAAGGTTACTGTCATGCTTCGGTAAAAGCAGCTGTTAAAATACGTTGGTAATATGAATGCAGCGTTGAATATTTTTTAATTTTAAATATATCAAAGCTAAGCTTGCTGTGGAAAAAAAGATCGCTTCTCTGTGAATCATGTATTTGAATATTATGATTTTGCCTTTTATGCCTGGAATGATTATTTCTAGACTTTATGACTTTGGTTGCAAAATTAATTTAAGTGTATTTAATGTTTGCGTGTCTTATAATATTGTGGGTGGGTTAAGATATTATTTATATGCCTTAAACTTTGATGCTGTGTTCTTGCTCCAGGATCTTAAGGTGTATAACACCATTTAAAATGCTGCATGCTTTATAATTGCTTAATAAAATAAACTGATAGAAGAAATAAGTAGTTGGATGTTTTAGGAAATGAGACAATCATTGAAAGACACTAAAATATTCCTGTGGAGAGTTTCTTTAAAATTGTTGGTAGGAGTGTAACATACAGGGGGGAAAAAAGATTGATAGCCCCATGTATTACTTTGGGCTTAGTTGTTTGATTGAAAGGGAAATTGTTAGTTTACTGAAAAGAAACATGATCTAGTCTGGAGTTCTAAATAGAGTGAATCATCTGTAAAAATCCTGCAGTGGATTTCACTCTTTATAAACAATTGGGAAGGACAATAGAAGAAATTAGTGAGATCTAGGAACTCTACGTGGAACTGCCTTAAACATGAAGGGGTGTTTTTACTCAGATAACACAGCTTAAAGCAAAAGTAAAAATACAACCTTTTGCACAAGGATTACAATTCTATGGAAGGATGTTCAAAAATGTTATTCTTTTATTGGGGGACTTTTTGGGTAAGAGAATAAGATTTACTTAAATTCTCTCAGTGTATAAATTTTTTCTTGGTCAAATATTTAATTTTAAAGTAAGTAATATGGTAAAAAAGTGAGAAGTAAATGGATTCCAGCAGAATTTCTGTTCTCCTTCTGTACAAAATGGGCATCACTCTTAGTTAGCAAATGCTGTTGAAAAAGTTCTAATCTAGGGAATTAATATATAATTTTGTCCATTTATTTTCATTCATTAGTAGAAGGTTCCTTATAAAATAGACATTAGCATTAACTGGAGTGATATGTGGCAAAGATTTTAAGTATGGTGCTATTTTCTAAAGTAGCTCAAGAAGAGTTTAAAATACTGATTTAAAGAATTCCCAGATTTTAGCAAAATCTCAATGGGTTATGACTTTTAAGCAGTTAAAAATTATATCAAATTCTGTGACTTCGCCTAAGTATATGCAGTTTGTTAAAATACTTTTCTTATATGCTACAAGGTAGGTGTGGAAATTTTGCTTCTTGTAGATAATTCTTTTAAAGATGGCAGGACACAAGTAGCAGAAGGGCTTCATGGTACATGGGCTTTGTGAGAGATACTTCCATGACAAACCTCTGATTCAGTTCTCTTATTGGACAGCTAATACTACACATTACTACATTTTGGGGGGCCATATATGTGGAGAAAATGTCAATTCTCAGAAAATAATTTTATTGTTTAAGAAAACCTAAATATTACTCTGATAAAGGTTAGCCAGGTTAAAGAGAGCAAATCTTAATGAAATCTCTTGGAAGTCCATGTTCTCATAATATTTGAATGGAAACCATTGCTTTACAATTAAGAAACATCTATGGTGGGACCCCATTATAACTGCTGCTTGGGTTATATAACCGAAATACGTAGTGAATTTGCTATATGTAGTTGTTGTGCTCTGGGGAGTATAATTGGCTTGCATTGTATCCTGATACTTTTCAATCATAAACTCTTGTAATGGGGTTCCATTGTATTTGACTTTTCTTAAATTGAATGTTGTGTAATTCTGCCTTCTTCATGAAGACTTTCATGTTCTGTTCATTCTTTCATTTTAGATATTTTTCTTTCTTGGTTTATTTTATTTAGTGCACAGCAATGCTTAGAAATTTTGCTTACTGATTTCTAAACATTCATTTGATTATATTTTTGAACAATATATATACACATTTTCAATTTCAGGTCAAATGGACTCTCTCATTCTTGGAGTGAAAGGATTCCAGACACAAAACATATTTCAGACATCTGTGAAAATGGGCGACCTCGAAGTAACTCTTGGCAAGGTATGTAGGGTGGCATTCTGAATCCAACTGCCCACATAACCCAAATTCCATATTCTGTGGTCCCTGGTTGTAAAGACTTGATCTTCTCTGTGAGCTCTTTAGCTCTTCTCCCAGTAGAGAAGAGGGCATTTATTATGAGTTCATTTCTTTTTTCTTGGATGGGAAATGATGGGGTTCGATAGCACCAGTGCACCAGGCACTTTGGGAGGGTTGGACAGAGCTCTAAAGGCCTGTGCTCTGGGCGATGCTGGTTGTGAATTACACCCACTTGAAACACCATGTCCTTAAACATAAGGCGACTTTGATTTACATTCAAATCTCGCTGTAAACCATCTTTTTCAGGTAACGTGGGAGGCAACAAAAAGAAAATCAGAGGCAAAAGATTTAGACCTCGGTCTAATTCAACTGAGTAAGTCTGCACTTCTAATGGAAAAAGGCTATCCAAGGTCCTGTGCAGTTAGTGTGAAAAGTTAATCAGCCAGATCGCCTGAGAACTGTAAACCATGCCTCTGGTCATGGTTTTGTCTTTTCAAATATTTTTCTTTTCTTTTGCCGTTTTAAAATTAACCCTGGCTTTTCTCTTTTACATAGGCATCTCCGCAACTGTGCCCAACCCAATATTCACTGACAGTGGGGGCCTGGCCCTCGCTGCAGGCTTTTCCCTCCAGTACTCTGCCATTGTGGTGTCTTGGTTCCGTTTGAAGGGAATTTTGATAACATTCCTTTCTCTTCATCACCCGGGGTCTGGCCATTTCAGAGGGGTCACCCTTCCTCTCCCCCGTATTCACACAGCCTAGAAGCATCGGGGAAGTTCCCACTGGCCTGGAGCATGGTACTTGCTCACAGTGCGAAACCACCGCTCCCGAGCTTCCTGGCTGCCATCTAAGCATTCTCTCAGACTGATAGAATTCGTTTCCCTTTTAAATTTTCCTTCTGAGGACATTTAAAAGGGCATTTACCTAAACTTGCTCTTTAACGGAATCATTGTCACTAAATGCAACACTATCCATTTTGAATGATAGCCACGTATTTTTTTAAAAACTGGGGATGGGGTCCTAAGTTACATTTAAGCCATTTATAGTGAAGTCAACACCATGTACTTTTGTTTGTTTGCTTCTCCATTGAATAAAGTACAAGTAAATCCAAGCTTCCCCAAATCCCATGGAACAAAACACATCCTTACTCTCCTTCTGGATCTTGCCGCCTGGTTTTCATTAACCATACTTTTTGGACCCATCTAAATTTTTTTTACTGATATCATGGCAGTGCTAGCTTTTATTCCCAGGATCTCCGTTGCTTCTTTATGCCTTAATACTTAAAAAATCTAAATAGCAGGTAGCGGTTAACTACTTGTCAGAAACTTATGTTAGCTTTTCCATCATTTACCCTGCCTTTTTCAGTCCAGGACAATAACATCGCCCTAAAATTTGGACCTTCCTGCTGATGGTATTGTCTTCTAAGTGTCTTGTCAAAGTCAACTAGAGGATATTTTACCATAGAAGCAATAGATAGGTTCAGGTGATACCACTGCATGGTCCAGAATGGCATCATAGAACTCCATCCTCAATAATCCGTTTGAGTTTATCTTATACATTCCCAAAGTGCTTGGATGCTTTAGGACTCATTGAGGATAAACTCTTCTTGGAATGTTGTTTGATTTGTTTTACTTGAGGTCACCTGGTAAGAGCTCCTTAGCTTTTTCTCAGTTGCTCACAGAAGTCCAGAGGAAGCTGAGAAAAGTTCTTCAGAACTTCCTTTGGGTACTGTTTAGTATTCTACCAGTATGTCCTATAACGAAGCTTTGGAAAGTCCTAAGCAAAGAAAAAAAAAGATCCAGCATATTCAAGCTATGAGTTTAGGACCCAAAGAATACTTGGTGTTTAGCAAGATTCATAACAGTATTTTTTAGAGTAATCACTTATTTTTAAAATGTTTTCTTAAAATTTCCACTCATATCATATGATAAATACTGTGCTACTAGCTAGCTCTTGAGAAATCTTGCCTGTGAGATAACTCAGTTATAATATTTAATAAGATATCATAATGGAATTATGTTTATGAAAAAGAAATATTAAGGACTCCCTCAGATTTTTCAGACTTTCCAGATTTGGGTTACATGTCTCATGTTACCTAAATGGAGCAAGCCTGGGAAGCTGACCATATCCTACTGTACAGGCATTATACTGTATATATTTTTTTTTTTCTGAAAAGGAATATTAATGCATAGCATATCAAGAATTATGTTGACAGGGTTTTTTTTATACTTTCCATATTTGTTAAATAATCCCATTTGCTTCTGATACAACATCATTTGTGTGACTGCATGAGGAACAGAATGATTATGGACAGAAGCATCTTTTTAATTTTTTTAGACTAAGAGGTATTATCAGGTCTATTATTTCAACGTTCCTTTTAGCATCCCATCATCCCAAAGGATGAAGAAACCTTGGGACGTGAATTAAAACATGCACCACAAATGCATACTCTGCTAATTTACAACACCAAATATCCTTGTTTAATGTATTGTTTTCCCCCTGAAAGCTTTTGCATCTTCCTCACTGTTGTACATGATGTAAAAAAAGGTTTTGGCTTAGACTTTGTATTATATATTGTGTTTTTACAGGAGGGAGCCCCAAGCACCTGAGCCTGGGCACTCCCTCGCCCAGACAGTCCCATCCCAAGGCATAAGCCCAGGGGGTTCTGACAGCCCCCAGACAGGGAGTCTGGATCACAGGTCAGTCTCCACCTGCCCCTTCATTCTGGGCTGCCACTTAATCTCCCTCCAAGTCCCTTCCTTGGCTGAGAACAGGGTCATTTGATCTCTGACTGATGCCCAGCATCTGCTTGGAGGTGGTCCTGGTCCAGCCAGCACCAGCTAGTTTTCCTTCCTTTCCATCCTGGAGGACATACAGAGCTCTCCTAGCCTGTCTAATGCATTTTTTATTTATTTTTTTGCATGTTGCGCTCTAAGCCGAGTCAAGCACATAGGTAGGTTTATAGCAGTTTGATAAAATCCCATGACCTAGAGATATTAGGAAGCCCACTGAAGACACTTTCATGGCAGATCCCCAGAAGGAGCAACAGTTGAGAGCTCTCTTCAGTGACCTCTAGTGAAGTGATCACAGCCTTCTGAGATGCTCCCTGAGACGGAGGAAAAGGTCCATCACGGGCAAGTCACACCATGTGGCTGTAGGTTTCATGGAACAGCCATGGTACCAGTCCTTTGAGCTTGTGAGATTGTCACTGAAAGGAACACGTGTCTCTTGGATGTGGCCACCTGCCTGTGGGTGATCCCTTTTGCTGTGTGGCTGTGTTTCACATGATAACAACAGCTGCATGGGCTTTTCCCATGGTTTTCCCCAGGCTAGAGCATTCACTGGTCTCCATCTGTGGCTGCACATGCTTTTTGACTCTTTTTTTTTGTTTTGTTCAGAGTCTCAGTGGAAACCTTTATGCAAGTTTTAATTGGCTCTCTCTGTGAAAAGCGCAAGTTGGCAATGATTGTGGCTAAAGGCAAAACTAGTGTGATTTGTTCCTGAGTCAGGGGACATTGTCTTAGCAAAAATGGTCTTATAAGCATATAAAGTACCCCAACCCTTCTCTCAGGAGGGAACTTCATGACCTTATTTTGTAGCATACATCGGTTATAGCTAAAAATGAGGGAAAGGACTATGGAAAAAAATCTAACTTGTTTATATAACTTGTTTATATACTTACTGAAATGTATTTACAAACTAAAACTAAATATGGAGGAAAGAAGCAAACTTTAACCACAAATAGTATATTTTATAATTTCCCCTGGTTTGTTTCCAAATAACTTGAAAAGTTTTATAGAGCTTGGATCTTCATTGCCTATAGTGTTTCCAGAAGTTACTTTTTAAGTGAGAAAATTCAGTAAAAAGTAAAACCTCCAAATTCTTCCAAGGCTGCATTTGTTGAATCTGTATTTATTTTATGAGGGCAAATTCTTAGGGGATATACCGTTGCTTGCCACTCCCCCCTGCCCAGGGTATATTAAAGGAAACTGTGAAAAGAAAACAAAATGCGTACTCGCAGTTTTAATCCCTTTAAGATTTTCCTTTGTGATGGATTCTGATGGAGACTTTGCCAGATCCACCAGGGAGATGCTAACTGAGGTCATTATCTGCTGGCAATGACTCACCTGGCGCTCAGTCAGAGGTAACCTCTGAGGACCATTTCATGATGGAAACGGAATCCGTTAGTCTGAGTGCACAAAGGTGAGGAAGGAACCTTGCAGCTGCACCTAAATTACTAAACCCAACTTCAGGGTCCTGGAGGCCTGTCGGGACCACACTGAATGTGCATTGGGCTCCAGGATCAGAAGAGTGGGACCTTTTCTGCTCCTTATGGAGCCAATTGGAGCACCTTTTTGTTAATTCCAGCTTGGGACCTGCTATCAGGAGAAAGACAGAGGCCATGTAAAGTCTTTCCTTTCATATTGGAAAGAGAACTTAGGTCCTTTTCATTGTCCTTGGCGTTATGTGCCCAAACACCAGGTTGGAAGTGCAGCCCTCTCAGTGTTCTCAGAAAGCACCATTACCATTTGAAAACCAAAATGCCAAATGAGAGGTGGCCTAGAAAATGCCACTTTGGAGGTGGGTGAATGGGATTGCTGACAGCACTGTGATTGAAAGAGCTTCGGAGTCACTTTGGGAAACCACTGGGAAGGCTTTCTTGAAATGGGGAATCCATTCTAGAATGCCTTGAGCCTTGTTGTAGCTGAGTTTACTGTCATGTGATTGTACAGACTGCCTCATAATCACCCCACACCCACCCTGGTTTATTTGCCATGGTCACTTGCATTTGGAGGGTGAGGAACATCCTTGCTAAGCTTGTGCTGTGTATTTTCAGATTTTCTATCTTGTTCTGCTTTCTTTGTTCCTTCCATTGCTTTCCGCAGGTATTTAAACCCATGGTTCAAAAGAGACTATAATGTAGCTAAGTGGGTAGAAGATGTGAATAAAAACACTGAAGGACCATACTTTAGGTATTTTATAAATTAATTTTATATCCTTTACAAACTCTCCCAGCACATATAAACACTGCAGTGTGACTGGCTCTCTATCTTGTATTGCCCAATACAAGTTCCCAGAGGTGGAGAGGGTCCTTGTCTCCTTGCTGCCTTTTGATCTCTGTTTTGGGCTTCATGAGCAAGTCTGTGGCTCTTCTCTGAAAGTTTCAAATGAAGCTGTTTGAAAGGGTTGCCATTTAGTGCATGTCCCTATTACCATCTCAAGCTTTTTAGTAGCTTTCTCTTCATTTTATGCTGTGTAGTGTTCTATGGGCATGAAACATCCTTTCCACTAATAAAGCAGCACTATTAACCTGAGCAATTTCATTTCTAGAATTTAGTTTTTCCGTAGTGCATTTTTTCTACTTACTGCCTTAAGAGTGCATAGTGCATATGAAAACTCAAGGAAAAACATGGAAAAAAAACAAAAAGCAATTAGTGGAATTTTACTTTGAGTAAAAACAATGATTTGCTGTAACTTGAAAATTATTGAGAAAACATTGGCCGCATGAGAGAGTATGCATTGAGTTTAGGTTGTATTTGTTCGGTACAACCATGGGCTGTGCTGAGAAATGTTTCACAGATTCTCAACAAAGCTAAGGAATTTTTTATTCCAATAAAAATGCCATGTCTAACACGTGAAATAGAACAGGAAGCAGATCTGAAACATGTTCTTGATTCACAAACAAGCAGGTAGAGTCTGTACATTTTAGAAACCAGCATATTTACTCAGTTCACTGCAGCTCAAAGAGAATTTCCAAGAGCTCTTAATAGCATTTTTCCACTCTTTATAATATCAGAGTGATTTCCTAGAGACAAATGTTCACTTTATATCTGACTACTGTGACAGTTAATGTAAAGAAGAAATATAGGCTGAATTGCTACCTCGTCTGAACATAACAATAAGCTTTCGATTATTTATTGCTGTGACTTGGGTCAGCATTTAACAGATATCAACTATATATGTGTATTTAACTCTCAGCACCCATGTAAGGTGGACTTTCTCTTCCTGTGTACCATTTAGTTTAGACATGTAGAGTTTGAGAAAATGATTAGACCTACCTGCATTTTAATTTGATCCATACATTCGCATATGCCCCAAGGAAAGCATAACCCCTGCCTGCTCACAAAAATATATCCTGCTTTTATACCCCACCTTTCCCTCCCGCCCTGTCCCTCTGCTTATACCACTTTCCTACTGAACCTCCTACACATACACTCACATTCAAACATCCCACCCTCACCTGTAGCTCCCAAGATGGCCAGCGTCAGGAAGACAGGTAAGATGGTTTTGAATGTTATTTGGAATCTTGGCTCACCTGCAGTCCCATTCCTCCCTTCTGTCTTCCTCAGGCTTGTGGGCAGATTGTAATTTATATCAGTCATGAGACCAAAACAGAATGACTTTGGTCCTGTATGGGCTAGGGCTTTTATGCCTAAATGGACTTAGCATTTTTGCGGCAGCAATTTGTGAAATGGTACCCCGGAAGAGTTGATTCACCTCCCCTGGGTGAGCTGAGTAGTTTGACTCCCAGAGAAGAGTTCCCATTTCTTCCATTCAGCGCCCAGGTCTGCCCAGAAGCTGCATGACTAAACGCAGTTTGGATGGGGAAATGCTTTAGCACCCCCGGTTGCACGTGCAAAGCTGCAAGGGCAATTTTAGAGGGCTCCTTTATCTCCTTGGTTAATATGAGATGTGGGTTTCTACAGAGATGGTCCCTTTAAGAATTAATTATTAGAGATCCATATTTGTATTTAAAGGTTAGTTAAAACTCAATGGAGTGTTATCAGTTATCTGTCATTTGTTGGGATGTTAAGGGTAATGCTGGTCAGACTTGAAAATCAACACAGAATTTCTGTGGAAGTGGTGAACAATTGAGACACCCCGGGACTTTTAATACAATGATTCTAACACAACAGAATTTCATTCACTCTCCATTCAAGCCACGCCTCACATCTCAGGTCCCAAGTGCATCTACACCTTGGCTTACCCTCTTTGCCAACCCGATGCCTAAGCTGAGATCTGCTTCATCTGCTCCCAAGCCATTCAGAATTACGTCTCCTGCCAAAACCATCAATAAGGGCAAAGGTCACTGTATTAATCACCCATGCAGTGTGAGGTTTGTGGCACCGTTATCAAAATGCAGTGAGGACTTTGTGAATGTAGCAAAATGTCCAAAATACAGCTCAGCACTTTAAAATATAGTATCCACATCACTACAAAGAGCAAAACAAATGCCAAAAGATTGTGAGTGATCAGAGTGCCTCAGTTGTCCTCCCTCCCCCAGTTCTCATGTGACAGTGGTTGCCCAGATTGTTTTGAGCTTATATCCAGGACATTAGGAAGGAACTGATAAGGTCAGGGCAAGAGAATTATCTCCCCACATCTGGATCCTGGAAGTAGTTCCTTTGGCAGCAGTGCTTTGCCAGCCTCTAGAAAGTATCCTTACTCTTGGGTATTAGCCAATTGATTCCTCACTTCATCAATGGATTTTGAGTCCACTCCCATGACCTTGTGGAAAATGCTATAACTCTGAAAAGAAGCTTAATAACTGTCATGTATCAAGTGCCTTTATTTCTCACAACACCATGAGACGTAAGTATTCTTATTCCCTTTTTATGGGTGGAGGAAATAGGTACAAAGAGTCACTCAAAGTAGCACAGCTAGTAAGTGTCAGAGCCAGAATTACGAGCTTGGCCCCGACTCCAAAATCTTCCCTTTCTATTTCCCTGTAATTACTTAAAAGTAGTGAGGTGGATATTGACTACTTACATCCTGTCCCAGGACACTTTACAAATCCTTCAGGATTAGGCTACTATAAAGCTTGCCTGTGAGCACAGCCAAGAGGTGGACCTGTGTCCCTTGTGTGTAGCTGGTCTGTATTAGCCTGTGCTGGGGGGCAGAACTGAACTGAGACTGGCCAGACAGGCATATCTACTAAAGGCAAGCCCAGAAAGGCTGATGTAGCCCCAAGATATATCACAGTCTATTGGCACACAGACACACTTTCATTGTGTGCTTCTGAATGGCACCCGCTATGGTTATTATGGTTTTTAAAAATGCAGTGATGATAATGCTTAGCATTTGTTCCAAGATTACTTTGTAAGTGAATGAGCTGGGCCGGTGCCTGATTTTCAGTGAAAGCAATTGGAACCACCAGGCAAGTAGCCAGGGTCAAAAAAGAGCCTAGAAGTGGTTTGAAGAAATGTCGAGTTTGTTTTTGTTTTCCCTGAACTGATTTACCCTGCCTTGTTCTCTCCTCCTACTCTGACCCCTCCATCCCCCCCAGGAGCTC